CTGGAGAGGGACAGTAGAAAGGAATATGAAGAAATAACTGACATGGGATACTATAGGTAGAAAAGCAGCAGATCAGCAGCAGTGGAGATCACTTGTAATGTCATATATGCCAACAATGGAATAAAGAGGATATCTTCTTATTCTTCTTGGCATTGGATTTCATATGCTCAGGTCAGACCATCAGATGGACTGCCCCTATAAACTCACATTTCATTTGTAGGTCGTCCATAGTTCCCAAAGGATACAGAAATGGACAATAAATAACAACTTGTCAAGTACATGATGTACAAAATAACTATACACCTGTTACCTACATGTTAAAAAAAAAGTAATTATTCACCTACTATAAATAAATAATTAAAAAAATAAATGAATAAATAAAATATATAAATGAGACAATTCAGTTCTGAACATCTTTGGTGACTGATAATTGACACAAAAACTGTTTATACAGGTGGACACAAGTTATCAAAGACACTCTGAATATGAAAGTTCACAAAGTGGAAAAGTTGGCAAAGGAGAGAGTGGTTTTCTGGCATTCAAGGATGAAAGTGACTTTCTGTGAAGGACCTGCATAATGATAGTGATTATGACTGTATATACAGTAACGAATTGATATATTAAATTAAGCATTTAAATAATTCAGATACAAACAACACATTGCACAATTTATTGCCTGGTATATTTCACTGTATTTTGTCAGGTACATTACTACAGAGCTACATCAAATATAATAAAACATACAAAAACTGAATTCTTTCCACTGGAAAATATAAAAAACATTACCTCTATTGATACATTATTCGTAAATGTTTTTCTGTCTACTTACAGTCCCTGTCTCAGCAAACAAAGACAATAAGACGGACAGAAGATGCTTTTAGAAAATATTAAATAAAATGTTGACACATACACAAAGTGTCAGAAACATAAAAAATAACACCAAGATCACTGACCATCCTTCCATTCTCTTGTAGATGGGTTAATGACACCAAACAGTTCATCATTGGTAACAGCTTTGGGGTCAAGGTCAATAGCAGTTGGTTTCTTGTTCATGTTCTTGTATGTGCGCTGTAATGTGTTCCATACTTTGCTTTTTCCTGTGCCAGCGTTGCCGAGCAAGAACACAGAATGTCGTACTTCAAAGAGCTCCTCGAGCTGTACAACCTGGTCAGCAGTAAAATATATGAGAACTGTTTACAGACATAAAACAATAAATATTATCCTACTGACATTTACTTCTATGATATGCGGCAAGTCGTTATACGTTCACTAGACATTTCATACAGTATGCAATTTCCTTTATTTTAATTGTATCCAGTCATTTATAAAATCCAGTGTATGATATTGAAAATGTAATTAATTGTTTGTCCATGGTAAATATGATATCTTGATCTATAGTTATTTTTTAAGAAATATCCTGTTCAACTTTTCTGGGTCATAACTGGGAAACTGATGGTTTTAATGTAGCAATTTTTTATTAAAGAAAGATTATAGTAACAAATGTCTGGATGCAGTCAAAGTTAAACTATAGAAAAATTATTTTTAATGTATTGTTATTTAATATAAAAACTATAACTACTTTTTTTTTTTCAAGACAGCTGGTGACCAGAACAAACTTTGTAGTTTGAGGTTTCAAAAACTGCTTGTCATTGCCTCACTGCTCAGTAGGCAGGCTGACTTTGAAAAACAAAAGTTTACTTTCTACAGATAACAATCCATTACATTGAGGTTCAAAGCTACACCTTAATATTTGAAAAACTGGTAATTTAACTATTTGACTGTTTACTTCTGGAGTAATACAAGCAGTCAATACATAAAAACTGTTACAGAGCTACAAACTAAAGTGAAGCTAAATAATGACAATGATCAGTTTTAATTTTAACCTTAAGAAAGAATTTGAAAAAAAAAAAAAAATTAAAGTATCTGCAAATTGGGAATATTTGCACTGAAATGGGAAACAAATGGATTGAGAAGCAAGATATAAATGCCATAACATGATGATTACTTTATAAATATGTATTTTTACTGCCATTTACCTTTAGAATGAAATTTTCCTCAGCCTGTAACTTTTGGTCAAGGGTTGCTTGCCTGATCTGCTTCTCAAATTCTAAGTTACGCTTTCTTGGCACATCTAGAGATGGGAATAAGTCACCGATCAAGCCCATAAAAACTGGCATGTCATCCACAACAATTTTGGGAATGTTGAAATCTCGCAAGGCCCTCATGAGCACCTGTTGTTAAACAAAAAACAATTATTTTATCAGACTATGACAGCAATAAATAAATCATTATCATCATCAAGTGCCTTGTCGATTGGCGTGGGCGATCATGCCTCTCCACATTCTGCAACTGCGTGTATCAGTTCGTGTGTTAACACCCCTCCATGCTATGACAAAAGACTGTTAAGACTCTTCTTACGCTGTCTTCCTCTGTCTCTCTTTCCACAGATCTTTCCAGTGGTCACAACAAGTTCCAGTTTTCCTCATCTCATAACATACCAAAAAAATTATGACTATCTCTTTCTGATCCCTTTGTTAGTTGTCTTCGAGCACTCACCTCTTTGAAAACATCTGTGTTGCTCTTTTTAGCTGTCCAAAGAATTCTAAGGATTTTTCTGTAAAACCACATCTATGAGGCCTCAAGATATTGTTTGACTTGTCTATTAATTGTCCAGGCTTCACAACAATATGTTAAAACTAGCTTCGTATAGCATACGATAATTTTTTTTCCTAACCTCCGATGACATGGATTTATTGCATAAAATGTTCTTTTTTTAATATAAAATGTAGTTTTGGCCTGTCCTATTCTATTCTTTATCTCTGTGATACATCTTCCATCAGATGTATTCCATGTGCTTAGATACTTAAATTTAAATGATGCTTTTAAAATAAACAAATAAGCCTGATAAAAGAATGTGCACATCTAGATAAAATATGAAACCTTTCATTGCTGTTTGATAATCAACCACTGCATTAAAATCCTTAAACTTATGAACTGAAGAGGTGATTATTAGTTTACTGAATATGCATGAGGATGTATTAAGTCTGTAACAGGCTTCTCCTTTTTTCAAAATTATGCTATTATAGAAGATAGCTTGTATACAGACTTTTCAAAGTTCTTATTAACAAATAACATTTCATTACTTTATAACTGCCTAAAGACAATTTTAGTGTTTAAGATATCACATTCATCATCACCATATGTGCCTTTATATTTCGCAGGGGATGTGCCACATGGATGTGCCTTTGTATGCCACATGGGACTCACGGTCTATTCCTCCATTCACTTCTATCACGTGCAATCCTGCAGATGGAATCCTCTCCAACATATCTGGCCTCTCTACCCACGATGCACAAAAGTTGATAGCAATGAAAACATAGGACTTTTTCATAAATAAATAATATTATTCAACCTTCAACCAAAAATTATTTTAAAACGCCGTCCTAAATCTCACCTGGTCTTCAGGGCGACCTCGATCATTTCTCTTCAGAGCTCCAGCGACCACAAGCACAGACTTGATAGCTCTGAGACCCCAGTCATAATGGTCCTAACGTAAGAATTATATGATAACAAACATTACTTTAGTAATGACACATAAATATACAATATTAAAATCCTAATCAAAAGTATTTTCTAATTAACATAGTTCAGTCTCTTGTTCAGAAGAAAACCTAATCTCTTGCTAACATTTGGTCTTACAGATGAATCATGAGAACACTTTCTTCTTCTCAAAGTCCATGCCATGTGGCGTTGGTAGTCATGTCTATCCACAAACTTCTGTCTCATGTTCTTCCAATCAACTCGCAAAGGACCCCCCCATGCCATGATGTCAAACTGTATAGCATCTTTTCTCTCGATCTCCCTCTGCCTCTCATTCCCTCCAACTTTCCTTTTGTCACAATGTACCCCAGTTGTCTCCTTCTCAATGAGAACACCAGAAACATTAAGTTAAAGGTGTAATGAAGAAATGATGACAGAAATCAACTCACAATGAAAACTGATTACCACAATCTGGTTCATCTGGGTAAAGAATCAACATCACAGCATTCAGAACAAGACCATATTTGCTCTGTTTCTCTCTCAACAGTTAGAAAAAGTCTCCATACTGAAGGCACCCGTTGTCATCTGGTTGACTACTCACTTTGCCATCCAAGTGAGCCCTCAGTATCTTCTATTTTACTTGTTATCTCATCCCACAGGTGAGCAATCAGTATGCAGATATGTAGTGTGCAGTTACAGTATACGTTATACACCAACAAAGAAGCGTATGGGCATTTACAGATCTTCAGTGGGTAGAAGAGTCAAAGAAGCCAACGGCACCTTCTCCATGAAAACCAGCAGCATGTTGATGAAGGTGATCGCAGTAACGCAAGTGTTCTGGTGGTTTGAAACACAAAACTATAACTGCGCATGTGTACTCAATTATTCAATCAGTATGATCCAGAGGATTCAGGCAAGCTTGGTGTTAAGGCGATGGCTTGAATCATTACAGTGTGCGTGAAGTCACCATTATTTTCAAGCAGTGACATGTGGGCATCGATGGAAATGAAAGAACTGGTAGGTTGGCTGGATCCAAAATCACTACTGATGACCACCATATGGATCATGCTGATATTATTAATGCTGTCCGAGAAATGAGAAGGGTGGAAGAATTTGGGGGGCATGAATCCACATCACTCACCAGAATGATAGACTTAGGAGTTAAAATCAGCACAGCAAAAAAATAAAAAACCGAGACACACACACACACTAGGTACATCAGAGGACTTGTTAATCAACACAGAACTGGTACTATTAGCCACCTGACGCTGGGGTACATACTGAGGAGAGGATCTGAGCGCCTATGAACATAACCCAGCTAACGAATTAACTAACCAACTAATCACACAATAGGATTTTTCTAAGAGAAGCAACATCTCAAGTTATCAATATGATAACTTTTCTTGAGTATTTTGAGTTGTAATGGTTATTTAAAACATGAAAAATATTTATTTACAAACCTGTTTAGAAAGCAGCTCTTTGCACAGACTATACAGAGAGAGAAACTTTCTGGCCAAGAGCCTTGCATCAATGAAACCTTCAGCAACCAACATGATTTCACAGATAAGCTCAAAGTCAGGCACCACCATAGCACATGGCCTGAGAACAAAGTATGTTTACAAGCTTTTAAAACAAAGGTAATGACAATGATATTACTTTTTCTTCTTCTTCTCTTCCACCTTGTACCTCAGCGAAGTGTTGGGGGATATAATGTTTGTTGATGAGCTCTGTCAAGAGCACTATTAAGATTGATGTTCATTTCTGTAAGGTTGTTCTTAATACCATCACTCCAATTTTACCGAGGTCTTCCACTCACTCTATACCTGTTGTAACATTTTAGTGTGGCTCGCTGTGGCAGACAGTACCAGGGCATTCTTGTTAGGTGTCCAAACCACTTCATTTGTTGTTCTTTGATGACTTGTAAGACTGGCTTTATTCCTAGCATCCATCTGATTTCGTGATTTTGTATTCTGTATTTCCTTGACATTCCTGCAGCTATTCTAAGGCATTTCATCTCTGTTGTTACAATTTTACGTTCATTGGAATGATCTAATGTATTAAATTTACTTTGCTGACATTTCATAATAATTAATATGTTAACTTTTTAACTTTTCCTGTGTGAGTTCCAGGGCTAAAGTTTGGGTTGTGGGGAGGGAGGCGGGCGGGGAAGGGGGGGGGGGGAAATAGACCCACCGCTCCCTAACAAGCATGTCATTTAAGGTGACTAATTAAGAATGTTTCCTTCAAAAGTCGGAGTGCATTTGCCTGTGAAGCATGGAACAAACATCCTGCATACAAATGAAAGCCTTGTGCATGGTAGAGCGACATGCTGAAAACAAAATGCCAGATCCGTCTTTTCTCGAAATAACCTGACATGGCAGTACTCGCATATTTCTGTTACTTAAAGAGGAGGAATGTCTTTATGGTAAAGTGGTTAAGTCATTTGCCTCATTTTTCTCAGTCCATGAGAGCAGATGTTTTGGAAATCCCTGGATGTTGTCAACAGAGCTACATAGTTAATGTTTCGTGTGGTGCATGCTCTTGACAGGCAGTCACTCTACAAAGACAGTCTTAGTAATATGGATAAATTCAAAACAATCTTTTCGCATTGTAAATTTAAATAATGTGGACACAAATAAAAGCAGAAAGGATTTGTTTCTGCTTCATTATATGTTTATGCAACTCTACAGCAAGGCACCTTGACCAGATATAGCAAGCTATGCAATAAAGTGTGCAATGTATTGTTAGTATGTAAAGGTCTCTTTACATGGCAGTGGCACACTGGGCAAATGAAGCTAGACCCGCATTTGTGTTTAATGTTTAATAAACTGGCAATCAAAGGGTTACGTGGTCAACATCAGGGCGGCCATCTTCACTTTCCAGGACTTTACCTGTTACCCATTGAAGGCAGGGTCGACCTGATAGCCAAGGTCATGTAAGCAAAAATCTGGCTCTATGCATATTTGAACCCACAGTGTTCAGATCTGCAGGTGAGCCTCTGGCCACTACACCATGGCAGCTCCCCTATCATTAGTGTCCACATAATTTAAATGTGTATACAACCAAACGCAATGAAGTTGATTTTTTCACATTTAGACACCCTTTCGCTTTGCTGACTTTATTTCTTCACAGCGAAACTAAAATTCACAATTAAACTTTTCTGCTTACCTGAACAAAGCTTTTAAGTTCTCTGGCAGCTCCGTGCGACCTGCATACCCAGGGTTCATTGTGATAAAAATGCCCACTGTTGGCTGCAGTCTGATTTCTTCGCCCAAGAAATTGAATCTCTTTTTCTTATCCTTGATTGCATCCTGGATTGTCTTCACCTGTCCGTAAAATTATTTTAGTTTCATGTATCTCATTTGCATTTAACATAAACTGTGGTGTACAAGTCGAACTCATAAATTAATCAACCTCAAGATTTTTAGCTCAAGATTATGACCTACCATACACATGTTATACGTGCCATATAAGTCAATCACTAGTTTTGGAAAGATTTGTTAAGCATGAAACTCAAATTATACATCTCAGTCTATATTAATTTAATGTCTTCTCTCAGGTCAGACTGTCAGGAGGGTTGCCTCTTTGAATTTGCATGTCAGTTGCAGGTCCTCCATAGCTTGCTCTGCACACTTTGCCCCTGAGGCCACAATTCTCTTCCTAGATGTCAGTGTAGTAGGCAGGTCTTCATATATGCTGAGACGTGTGTGGTCCCATCTGACAAGCATACTGTGGGGACTGTACATTCTTTATTTGGTGCATGTGGTAGTCGAGCCTGCTGTTTGTAGGCGGAAAAATGTTGTTATGACATTTTCGGTTGCGTCTGCTGATGGGGTCTCGTGGGTGTTTAATTGATTTCTTCTCTTCACAGTTCCCTGTATTTCCTCGTGATACATAATTAAATTTCTGGTAGTGTCAATGAATGTTAATTTAAAACCATAATCTTTATGAAATAATTGTTCTTATTTCTTTACAGACTGCCTGAAACATAATTTCAGTTTGCTTTAATTGTGTTATCAACTAAATAACAGAGCTATAGTATCAATTAATTGATTTTCTTCTTCTTTGCATTCACCGACTGTAAACTCCAGCAGAGAGTTCTGCCTGTTCATTCACTTCTGGACTTTAGTCTTGTTCCAAAACTTGAGTTTTGCATGCACATCCGTTTTACAGATTTGTATATTTGTATACAGATTGTTGGTTCCTCACCTTTCAAGCAGATACAATCTGACTTCAATTGAGACACCCCTTATTAGTCAACTTTTATGACATGCTGTCAGGAGGCAGTGGGTCTATTTTCTACCACAATCAGGCTCCGCAACACACTCTGGGAAATTAACTAATCAAGTGTACAGAACCTCTGCATTTTATTCATTTGCTTATTTTTAAATTCATTTGAGGGCTGTCTCCACAATAGAGCTTGGCTATGAATTATGAGTTGGGTTCTCTTCATGGCACTCAGAACACATTCATAGGTGCTCAGATTCCCCTTTCACAATATACATACGTGAACCATGGTTAATAAAACCAGTCAAATGCTGGTTAAAAGCGCTTTTTATATATCTTGTGTACTTCTCATGCTTGGCTGTGCAGATCTTTACTCCCAATTCTTGCATTATTTGTAGTGATAGTGATGAGGACACGTTGCTTCCAAAATCCTCAGATTGACATATCTTTCTAGGGCATTAACAATGTCAGCACGATCCATAGGCTGGCCATCTGCAACTAAGACAGAACCAGCCAGTCTATTAGCTCTTTTATTGCCAACAACACCCACATGACCTGGAACAAAGCTTAAGACAATTTGATGCAGAATTGAATATAAATGGAGCTTGTCTGTTGTGGGTATGTCCATCCACTGTTACCTTCAGGAATATTACGTGGTGAGGCTCCCATCTCTGCCATAGTGTGATTTTCTCACCGTGAAAATGATACCCTGGTACATCACCGATTGTGAAAGATACATGATTTTAATCCACTGAGCAGCACTTATTAAATTGACAGCAGTAAGTTGGTAAGTAAACAACCCCTTTTTATGTTTGCAGTGTACTGGATATATGATGCTAGACCAAATTTTTAATTGACCAATTGACAAATTCTTTTATTTCCCATTTTATAATACCCATTTTGGGCAAAGTCAACCTGGCAACCAAGGCCAGTTTTCAAAAACAAATCAGCTTTGATGCAGATTCAAATCAACAATGGCTGGGCTAACAGAAGATCATGTGATTGCTATGCCATTATGGCTGCTTACTTGATAACAAGTGTTTTAATTAAAACGTCAAGTTCAGACACATCAATTATCTATATAAACTCAGGGGAACTAACCTGTACAGCCACCACTGACAACACTTCCACTGAAATACGATTGAACTCATCAAAACAGCCCCAGGATCCAGACTGGGCCAGTCCTTTGTAGATATTGCCAATTGACTGTAAATTAAAATAATATAATGTAGACATAATGTCCGAAGTTGATAAAAAATGCAAAAAATATTTTGACACCTACCTTTTTTTAAAAATGTTGCAGTGATTGTAACTGACTCAGAAAGCATTCTGAGGAAGATCAGAGCAGGTATGCTTCGTGCAGAGTGGCATGCTTTGCTGTGTAGTGCATGGGTGAGGAGTATTGTTTGGATTTTTTTACCGGGTTATGCTGGTGTGTTGGGAAATGAACAGGCCGACAGACTGGCTGGCTCTGTACAACTTGTTGGAATACTGATACAAGAAAAGGCAGACGTGGTTAGTGCATTGTGGAAGAGTGTGTACAGTTCGGAGGAGCAGATGGATCACCACAGTCTGGTGAGATTGATGCAGCGGAGAGTGACGAGAGGTTTTGGCAGATGCTCGAGGCTAAAAGGAAAAGGCAAGACGGACGTTTTATCAGAATGCTACTGGCACCATTAGTATCAGAACTCTTCACTGGCTGCTGAAGATGGGGACGGAGCGCTTATGGGAATGCCCCGAGTGCTGTGATGTCAGTTCTTGAATCAAATCAATCAATCAAATCAATAAAATATGTTGCAATAGGCATTATTTTGAATGAGAATGTTCCTAGCATTACTTTGGAAGAAAACAGATAAACATTATTTAGATCCACACTAAATATACTAGACATTTGAAAACAGGCTATTTGAAAAAAAAAAATCTTTTTCAACTATTTGTTAAGAAAAGATGCAGTGCACATTGTAAAATTTATTTTGGTAAATCCTTAATCAAAGATTACAGCCACCCATTTTTTCTCGCTTCTTTTACTTTTCCCTCTTTTCTTGTTTTCTCTTTCTCTCTCAATTTCTCTCTCTCTCTCTCTCTCTCTCTCTCTCTCTCTCTCTCTCTCTCTCTCTCTCTCTCTCTTTCATTATTTTATTGCGCAAACCTGACCTAAACATGAAAACAAAAATAATTAAGGTTGTTGTAAAGAAGTCGGGCCCAGCTACACAATAGCTGACCTTTCATTCATGCTTGCTCAGGCTGGTCTATGTTAGAGGGTCGTCACAGTGTACTGTTGTCTTCAGAAAGCTTTCTGTGTTGCGTGTAAATCATTGTCAAGTGAGCAGCAGCCGCCGACATTGCTTTTCACTCCTAAGCAGAAAAGCGCTGCTTCCATGGGTCGTACACTGCACTCTCTCGTGGGACATACGCTGAGGCTGTGGGCTAGGAGGTTTGTGATAGTACCGGACACGACATCCCTGTCACATAGACCAGTTTGAGCAAGCATATGAATGCAAGTCAGCCAATGCTGGGCCCAACTTCGTTACTAGAACAATAATTAATAAAGAATCTGCAGATCGCTGGTTGTCAAAACTATTTTATTAATAAATTAATGTTTTCTCAGTTGTGAATTCTTACTTTGTAGTCCATTTGTTCAGAGCAATTGAAGACATACACCATGATGCCAAGGGCACGACCCAAATCTTTTGTGGTCTCTGTCTTCCCAGTGCCGGCTGGGCCAGCAGGTGCTCCAGACATGATCAGATGGAGAGACTGGGTCAGTGTGATGTAACATCTTTAGAAAGATATAATGACATTTCAGGAACGAGGGTAGAGGCATCAGATTACTGGAGTGTGTACTGTATTATAAATACAGCAGTCTAACATATAGATTGTAATAATGATATCACTTTATAAGCTTACACTTTTCAAAGGTTAAACAAACAAACAAGCAAGCAAGCACGCATGCACACACAAGATGTACATCAGTATTTCTTGAGGGGGGGGGGGTGTGGTGGTGTGTATGTGTATGTCTGTGTGTGTGCTCATGTGTGTGTGTGTGTAAATAAAGTCTGAGTATATAATTTTTCAGTATATTATTATTATTTTTTTTTCCAGTTTTTTTCATTAGCAGAAGCCAGTATGAATTTTAATTATGTGTTTACACTTTGAGGAAATTTAAAATAGAAAATTTCAGTATAACAAACTCACTGTGGCCAAGGATTGTGTAATTTTACATACAGAGCTTAAAGCTTATTAATTTACTGTCTATGAAGAAACTGTAGTTATTAATATTTTCTGAAGTTTTAATAATAGTTGGCAATGGGAAATAAAGGGATTAAGGAGGCAAGAAAGCCCAAAAGAAACACTAAAACAAATGTTATAAGTGAAGCCAAAGATGTTGCACTGGATTCTATCTATGATACTGATTTGATTGCACAAGTTAAAATGGCTTGGAGGAATAGACTGCGAGCCCTATGTGACACATAATGACACAGCAGAACAAAGATGATGATGAACTATTACAAGAAAAAGAGCACTGCTGTAAGTTAATCTGCATTCTTAAATGCATTTTAAATTTTACTGCAACTTTAGCATGGTTTGGCAGACATGCTTTCTATCTCAATAATCTTAACATGGTTTGCTAGGTATGCTTTTATCATTTTATTTTTTTAAATTGGTTTAGAAATTGTGCTTTGTTAAAATGTTCTTTAAATCTCAACATGGTTTGCCACTTGTGCTTTGTTAATTTTCTTGAAATCTCAACATGGTCTGCTGATTATGCTATGATGATTGTCTAGAAATCTCAATGTAGGTTGCCAACATGCGTTAATTTTCATAAAATTTTAGTAAGGTTTTTCAGTCCTACCTGTCAGTAAGAGGTGTAATGACAAGTCGAGGTGTGTTGCCAAGGTATTCATGGGCATAGCGAAACTGAGCATCACAGATGTTTGCAAAACAGTCGCGCTCATTATCATCCCAGCGATGTCTCAGTTGTGACAACCATACAAAAGCCTGAGAGTTATCCACCTGTTGACATACAAACAAGTAGACAATAATCAATTACTCTTGTTGTCAGTCAGTCAGTCAGTCAGTCAGTCAGTCAGTCAGTAGCCTGTCCTTTGCAGAACTTGCTCCCACAACAAACTTCTGGAAAACTTATCGATTACAAGGAAGATGTCCTGCGTCCAATACACCCATCTAGAGTTCATCTGCCACTTCCTGCATCGATCCTCTCTTTGGCCTTCCTCTTTTCCCTTCTTCCCAGGCATATACCCCCCCCCCCCATTATTGTTCTCTCTAAACTTTCGTGACGTTTCAAGTGAGCAAAATATTTCAATTTTTTGTTTCATCGTCTTTATTAAGTAACCTTCTCCAATTTTCAGTTATTGAAGTATGGAAGCATTTGTTACTCTTGTTGTACTCAGTCCATTTTGGGAAAGAAAAACAAAAGAATAGACTTATCCCACCACCTCCTAACAAGCATGTCATAAAAGGCAACTAATTAGGGTTTCTTCCTTCAAAGCCAGGTGGCACATGCCCAAGAGGCAAGGAACCAATAGTGTCCATGCAAATGTGCCAGATCTGTAAAATGGATGTGCACCCAAAACTCAAGTTCTGGAACAAGATCAAAGTCCAGAAGTGGATGAAAAATCATAACTTTTCCATCAGGGTTTACAGCCAGTGAACACCAAGAAGAAGAACAACATTGTATTCAATTACACACTAGGCTAAGGCAAGGTTTAAGAAAAATATATTCCCTTGAGTGATACAAATCATATAAGTGTTTCATGCCAAGTAGGCAAAAAAGTTTAGCAAATGATACATTATCATTCCCACCCAGGTGATGTGATTATCTACACCGATGGCAGAAGAAGAAGTGCATGGGGGTAGATAATAAAAGGGAACAGATGACACATAGTGCATCAAAACCTGGCATATGATATGACAACATCTAGCTTGAGAATAAAGGCCAAGGCAATCACTGCAGCCTTGCAGCCTTCTGCTGGCTTGAGAACCAGTGCACAATGTCATGATGGTAATTCCCTCAACACTCAGGGGAAGGGAGAGAAGGACATACAATCAGACTGTTACTGGTACCATTGAACTGGAACTCTGCACTGGCTGCTGAAAATAGGGATGGAGCACTTATGGGAACGCCTGAGTGTTATGATGTAGATTCTTAATTCAACATTCTTTAACATAGTGTTATATATTTTGCTTGTCCTTAACTTATGCCAAGGTTTTAACATGAACTCAGTTTTGGCTTAATAAGTTAAGATGCCACCTTATAAACTCTTCTGAAAAGACTCCACATTCAGATTTGACAAAGGCTTACCATTTTAAATTAGCTACAAACTTTATAGATATTTTTAAAAAAGGAGGAGGAAAGAAATAAGAATCTCTCAGCAACCACTGGTATCAATAGTGTAAAACAGAATATGGCACTGCATTGGACACACTCTGAGAAGATACAAACGGAGAATTACTGAACAGGCACCTGAATGGGTAACAGATGGACTGAGGAAATGAGGATCTTCAAAGAAACCCAGAGGCAAACACTGATGAGAGAAGCCAAAGGTATTTGACTGGATTCCATCCATGATATCAAGGTGATTGTACAGGATCGAATGGAATGGAAAAATAGACTGCAAGCCCTATGTAACAAAATATACCACAACAAAACAATGAATGAAGAAAGAATAACTTACAAATAAGCAGCAACATCTTGACTACTGACCTTCTGTGCAATCATTTTGCTGACAACATCACGAGCATGCACATCAATGGTGCAGATTGTCATGATCTTCTGGCGGTCACCACTGGAGAGGTCTCCCAGCAACATAGTGATTAGAGAGTTCAGCTGTGAAATCTGCTTTTTGTTGTAGTCTTTCAATGCATTTTCATAGCCTTCTTCCAGTCGACCAAATGCTATGTTGACCTCAGTGGTCCACCAGATTTGTGTGCCACACAGTGCTACCTGGAGAGTGGCAAACATAGGAAATCATATTTTTCAGTTGTCGCTTCTACAGACAGAAAAAAAAAAATTTTTATATGTTAAAAACATATCCGGCGGGTCCAAGCAGGCTGGTTACGCAGACAGTGGTTTGAGTCATTGCAAAACTCCTGTATGTGCAGTTACCTTCATATTTGTCCTAGGGCAGGCAGACGTTATTGGTAATGAAAGAGCTGATAGAGTGGCAGGTGCTGCATTAACTGAAGATGGCCGGCCCCTGGATCATGCAGACATTGTCACTGCCCTTAGTGAGATAGGATGTTCTGAGGATTTTGGAAGCAACGTGTCCACATCCCTGCTAAGAATACAAGAATTGGGAGTTAAGATCGACACAGCCAAGCATGAGAAGCACACCAGATGCACACAAAGTATTGTTAACCAACATAGGACTGGGACTATTAACCGCACGACGCTGATGAATATGTAGAGAGGGGAATCTGAGTGCCTATGGATATGTCCTGAGTGCTATGAAGATAATCTAGCTTATAACTCATAACTCATGGTAAAAACACAATAAATATACACTAATATTAATATTATAATATTAATTGTTAACATTATTAGTATATTAATTATCAAGGCCCTTCTGAAATGAGTGAACAGTGTGGAAGCACAAACGGATCATCACAGTCAGAAGAGAATGGTTCAAAGGAGTGTGACCAGGGGATAAGGCACACACAGGGAAAAGGCAAGATGGACATAAAGATTGCTACAGGAACTCTTCAATGGCTGCTGACAGTGGGGAGAAGCACATATGAGTATGTCCAGAGTGCTAAGATGTCAGTTCTTAACTCAAATCAACAAACAGTAGTAGCCCTAGGAAAAATCATTAAAATCTGTCTCAGTGTGGATTTAAACACAGGTCATTTGGACCAGCAGGCAAGCATCTAGCCATTCTGCTATTAGAAAAACCTCAAACACACAAAACTGATTAACACTATATATCCCAATTATAACCCTAAGGGTTGAACAGGATATTTCTGATAAATTACTTCTACTACTCAAAGAAAGAAGAGAGGTAGCCAGCTGTGAAGTAAAATAGTAAAATATTTGAATAAAGAACATCTTAGAACTCCAGTTACTGAAATTTATGATAGATGTTGATTTTAAATAGTTTACTAAGAAAATCTTCTTCTGCTTTCTCCTTTAAAAGGGTGGCTGGCATGTTGTATTGTGGTGTACAAGTAGACTGAGATATCTGTGCTTTCAACCCAACACATCCAGTTCCAGCAAATCCCTAATTAGTTACCTTTTACAACATGTTTCCAATGGTTAGAATGCTTGGCTCTCAAGCAGGAGACCAAGGTTCAAATCCTTGGTCAGGCTGGGGATTTTTTTCTGCCGGGGGCAAAATAAAATACTCACCTGCACAGTCGTGGCAATAGCACTAGCCATGCGGCTGTAAATCCTCAGGCTCAAAGACCTCCCTGCCTACACAGCAAAAGTGGTAAAATAAAGGCAGTTTTGGTAGTTTTACATGTCTGTTAAGGGGCATTGGGTCTACCCTCCTCCCCCCACCCTAGAACCCAGCAGAGAACTATGAAATCAAAACCAGCTTCATCCCCATTTGGGATCCATGGACCCATTATGGGGAAAAAACGAGAACATAACCATTTGCCTCCCCAACATGCATGTCATAAGAGTTGACTAATAATAAGTTTCCTTCAAATTTGGAGTGCATTTGCCTGAGAGGCAAGGAACCAAAAGCCTGCATACAAATAAACCAGATCTGTGAAATGGATGTGCACACAATATTTAAGTTCTGAAACAAGACTAGAGTCCAAAAGTGGATGAACCACCAGAACTTTCTGCCGGAGTTTACAACCAGTGAACACACAGAAAAAGAGAAGAAAACAAAAGATATAGATATCGTACCTGAGCTGGGAAATCAAAAAGCCACTGGTCTCTAGGCTTTTCTTCATAGCCAGAAACAGCTTCTGTCATCTCGTGTCGAACTGTGGCCTTCATAGAGTCAAGCAGGTGATTTAACCATGTTTCAACTTGACCATTGAGATCACATGGGCTGTTTAGGTCCACATATTCGCCATCTTTACTGAACATTCCTAGAGCATTCTTGATGGGCTTCTGGTCATCATCCAGCTCAAACTTCAGCTTAGCCATTGAGTCAAACAACTTTGTAAGATGTCGAGCCACCTTTGAATAGAATATAGGATTAGTTACTGATAAATTCTGCAAATAGCATAGTATTATAACAATGTTAATATTACTATGAAATATTGCTAATAAAATTATTACTGTCATAGCTTTAGAATATATTACTATAAATGTTAGTAAGATTGTCTAATTATTCATAGTACAATTTCTATCATAATCACAATCCAAATCATTGCAAAATGAGGAACATTACAAATATATACTCTGAGAACTCAATTAACACTATAAATCCAAATTAAAACCCTTTGGGTGTATCAGGATATTTTTGAAAAATTACTGCTACATATATTATTTTATATATCATCTTCTTCTTAAATAATCTTACTAAGACCTCCAGGTTATAGCCTTACTAAGACCTCCCAGTTATTGCCTGATTGAAAGTTCATCTATCTTTTCTCCTACATGTTGAATATTGTCCAGATCACTCCTTATTGAATCAAGCCTCAATAAAATGTCTGTCCTGCTACTCTGTGCGCCTGAACTCAGAAAGTTTACATTACATCTCATCATCATCATCATGTAGCAGGTCCTTTGCAGAACGTCGCTCTCATCACAGTCTGCCTGTAAGAAACTCAGTCTCTTGCCAGTTCTCCCGCCTCATGAACTTTCACACTCAAGGAGTCACTTATATCCTGTGCCCATCTTCATGTCAGTCGGCCTCTGCTCCTCCTTCCAGGTACCATGCCTTCTGCTATAATTTTTTCCAATCCGTAGTGGCGCTTGATATAACCAAAATATTTCAGCTTTCAAGAAAGGATGCTGTTTATTAGCCAATCTTCCTTGATGTTCAGATCTTTTAAGATGTCAATATTTCTCATCTTCTTTGTCCAAGATATTCTGACATTACATTTACCTAATCATAAAGTAAACTGTCACTCACAGGAGCAATAGAAACCAGTCTGCCAGCCTGATCATTACCCTCACACCTGCCTGCCATAACATACATTCACTAATTTGGAACACAGCACACACTGTTACAGGATCATTTCCGTTAGAATGTCCAGTAAATCAGCAGAAGAAACAAAGTAGAATCTAGGGCAGGCAAGCCTCTTGGTTTCCAAGTACATTACATCTACCTTATCATAAAGTATACTGTCAATCAGAGAAACAACAGAAACCAGTCTGATGGCCTGATCACTTCCCCGCACACCCGCACGCAGCAACATACACTAATTAATTTGGAACACAGTACATACTGTCACAGGATCATTTCCGTTTGACAGAATGTCCAGTAAATCGGCAGAAGAAACAAAGTAGAATCTAGGGAAGGCAAGCCTCTTGGTTTCCAAATACTCTGCCAAGGCTTTCTCACAGAGAGCCAGCTCTTTCTGCAGTGCTTCAAGTCGTTCATACAAGTGAGGCTGGTTAGTTGATTCAATGACATTTGTTGTCCTCTCCACTTGGTTCACTAGTTCCTGAAAAAAGACATACAAATTAGGCTGGTTAGTTGATTCAATGAAATTTGGTGTCCTCTCTACTTGGTTCACTAGTTGCTGAAAAAAAGACATACAAATGAGGTTGGTTAGTTGATTCAATGAAATTTGGTGTCCTCTCTACTTGGTTCACTAGTTGCTGAAAAAAGACATACAAATTAGGCTGGTTAGATGATTCAATGAAATTTGTTGTCCTCTCTACTTGGTTCACTAGTTGCTGAAAAAAAGACATACAAATGAGGTTGGTTAGTTGATTCAATGACATCTGTTGTCCTCTCCACCTGGTTAACTAGTTCCTGAAAAAAGACATACGAAGATTAATGAAACAGATCAGCCAAGGTGTCTTGAATTATACTTTTTTTTAGCAGGATACATTATTGCCTAAAAAACAATACATTAAATCGGAAGCTGCTTTTCTGTGTGAAATATATTTGACATCTCAACGAGAAGCATATTCTTTTTTCTATGGTTTATCTTCCAACAGAGTACATGCCTTCAAACAATTCATGCCAAGGCAAGGCCTTATAAATTTGCTCATGACAAGCTAAGTTTGCAGTTATAGTAATAATGAACGTTGCAATGTGTACTCTTTATCATCAGCGTCTGTGGCTTAGGGGTTGCAGCTTTATAATGCCGGGGTGCTGGGTTTGATCCCAGCTGCAGGCCATCTGACAGAACATTGTCTCATGTTGTTTTCCACAGTGGCACCAAGAGCCGACCACTTAGAAAGCAATGGCAAACTATTGAAAGTAAAATTTACTTAGAAAAACCACTGCAGCCAAAAAATGCTGGGGTTGGTTTTGCGAAGTCCTATAAGGGATACGCAACTCCCTTTAACTACTTGTCAGTAACGACTAATTATTCATATTACAATCATATTAAAAGAAAATAATGGATGGGAAACCATTGAATAAATGAATAAAGTAACAACTTAGAAATTCATTTTTTCTTAAGGGGTATGGTAATATTTTAATACTTTTTAATACAAAAAAAAGAAAAACAACAACAAAAATCACAGACTATCTTACTTTAAAATCTGTATCAATTCCATCAAATCTTCTGGAATCTTCTGGCAGCTGTTTTCTGATGTCCTCTGACCCAATGAAGATGGACTCTAAATGAGACCAGGTCCTTTGAACTTCCATGTAAATACTGATCACCTGGTCAGCTGTTGACAGTTTTTTCTGCCACATGGACACCTCTTGCAGGAAGTGAGCAATGTATTTTGAGGTCATCATGTTTTGTAGCTGTACCTGTATACATAAAAGTAACATTCTTGTAAGAACAATGTCTGGGATCTTTTAATGTGCCAATTTTCAGTAGTGAGATATCATGATGTCATCCCTATAATTACACACACTATCAATAAGCATGGGTGGTAATGTTTTGCTGATTCACACGATTACCACAATCATAGATAAGGTCATTACTCTTGCCTCCCCCCCCCCTCCCCCATCAAAATGGCCAAGCCATTCAAATATGTATCTCTGTGACCAGGATGTAATATTTTATTTCAAATATTAAAAGATGTCAGTATTCTCTTTCATAATGAAATTAGTATGATGCTTACAGTCAATGGACAGGCTCCAGAAATTTTTTTTTTTAAAAACTGTAAGGTATCCATTTCAGACAAATGACTTATCTGTCACATGGTCCTAGACTCACAGTTTTAAAGACCAATCAGCATTCAGTGGGTTATATGGTCAACATTACACCAGCTGTCTTTATTACCCAGGATCTATTTCGGTAACCATTTTTAGACTATTCACCTTGGAAGCCATAGTCAGTTATAAGAAATCCACCTACCAGAAAGGCAGTAAAAGAGAAATCGGCTAAAGAAAACTTGCGAAAGAACCGTTCGGTTAAAATTATAATGGATCAATTTAGGAGTACAAACGTGCTAACAAAATTTAAATTGCTGTGTTGTGAGCAAACTCAGGATAACTGTCTCTGGCCACACTGATGCATTTTCAACACTTTTGCCTTTCAGGTGTTTTTTTTTAAATTTATGATCACATCTGAGCTAAAGATTTTCATGAGATGTTAGAGGTGTGGTTTCATAAAATATTGCTTAAAATGTCTCAGACAACTAAAGGAATATTGCTGATATTTTGAAGGAGGAAAACACCTGAAGAAAGTTTAACACAAACAGAAAGAGGCGGTCCTAATTCTGTGGGCACATTATGAGAAGTAAGAAACTGGAACAAACTTGTTGTGGCAAAAGGAAAGATTTATGAAGAGACAAAGAAAGTTAATATGAGAAGATTCTTGATATAATTGTTTTTTTAAGGCATGGAAGGCTGACAGCACACAAATTGATATATGCTGTTGGATACCTCAGACTGAAGGGGCAGCACTTGATAATTATGACGATGATATATGATTATAAATTTAAACCACTGAATCATTGTTTAATGTTGTATTTAAATAATGTGGATACAAACAATACATTGCACAATTTATTGCCAGGCAGATTTTGCTGTATCTCATCAGGTGCTTTGTAATGTTGTATTGTTTGTGATTCCTCTGGAAGACTCTCAAGTTTGACTAGCATTCCAAGTCAACTGAACCCAGAGTGAGACTGATGTACAGATTTTTCTCCTTGTTGCAACCAATTAACTTTCTCCATGGGGACTGTTGCACAGCTCCCATTAACCTCCCCAAGTTCAGAAGCCCACGGATTGTGCAAGACTAGTACTGAAACTTGACTTCAGATACGTATGTAACCAGCTACTGATTAAGTCCAGCACATGCTATTTTGTGACAGTGTGGTGGCTAGATACTCGCCTGATGGCTGAAAGTCTAGGGTTTAAATCCTCATTAAGGTAGATCTCCCCCCCCCAATTAACCTTGGGTACCTGGGAAGTAATGGTGGATGATGTGATGTCGATCACATCACCCATCTAGTGCTGACTAGTCTCTAGTGCTAACTGGTCTATAAGAATACAGGTCTAGCACAATATATGCCTATTTAAAATGATCAACACAAGATGGGATGAATTCAACATTGGTAAAGAAATATAAGGCAAAATAGAACATGTTGTGACCACTGGAAAGATCTGTGGAAGGAGGGATAGAGGAAGACAATGAGAGAAGATTCTTGACTGTCTTGTTGCATGGCATGGAGGTGTGTCGGCACACAAACTGATACATGCTGCAGGAGATCGTGGATTATGGAGAGGCAGGATCGCCCACGCCAGTCAGCAAGGCACCTGATGATGATGAAAGAAATATAAGAAATCTCAGGGCTGCCATCGGAATCAAAAGAAAAGATGGTGGTATATTGAACACATCCTGAGAAGAAAAGTGCAGAGAATCATCAAACAGGTTCTTAAATGGCAAGCACAGGGAATGAGGAAACAAGAACATCTAAAATAAACCTCAAGTGAACATTGACGAGAGAAGCAAGAGGTGCTGGACTGAATTCCATCTGTGATATCAAAGTGATTGTCTTGTCTTGTCTTGTCTTGTCTACAATTGCCTCACAGTGTAGTGGGTAGTCACAGTTTTCTATCCTGAGCCAGGTGTGTTGCACGTGTTGTTGTTAGTCCGTGTTGCCTCAGGATCTCTGATATATTGTCTATCCATCGTACTCTCGGTCTGCCTCTTGCTCTAGGGCAGTAGTGCTGTTCGTAGTATGCTCGTAGAGGCAGTTGGTCGGTTAGCATTCGCATCAAGTGGCCGAACCACTCTATTTGTTGCTTCTTTATGTATTGCAGGCATGGTGTGGTTAAAAATGTGATTGCCTGGGGTATAATGGAATGGAGGAGTAGACTGTAAACCCTATTTGACATATAATGGCACAAAAGGAAATGAGCTATATGCCTGATGTGCCAAAGATGTGAAAAGGAGTCTTTTACTCATATACTTAGAGAGCTGCAGTGGTGTAGAGGCTAGACACTCACCTGCAGACTGGAAGGTTGTGGATGACCACATCACCTACCGAGTGCCAACTGGTCTATAAAATATAAGTCTAGCCCTATATGCCCAATACACCTGAAGGTGTGGAAAAGGGTCCTTTATTTACTTCACTCACTTACTTACATACCATTAGGTAGAATATGAAAACTAATGCAGAGATGCACCAATCCACAATTTGTATTTGCTTTCTTGAAGTTACTATCATGTATTCTTCATCCCCTCCAGATGGAGGAAGAAAACTAATGAAAAATCTCCCCAATAATTCTTGTACCTGATTATCTTCAAGGGTTTCAATAAGTTCTTCTGAAGTCTTAATGATGGTGATGCCAGTTCTGGGATGCTTCTCATGCTCAAACTCCATGGTAGCCCAGGTAGTATTCAGTTCTTTCAGCACTTTCTCCATGCTCATCTCTTTCACAGACTTGTCTACAATATTTCTGACTTCATCTTCATAATTGTGGAGATTTAAGTTCAACAAATCTGCCAGAGTTGTGCTGTCATCCATGACAAACTTCACCTATTGGAAGAAACAATATTATTTTCAAAATGTCAGATTTTTATTGCAAAAGTAATTTACTTGTACCTCTGAATGGAACTAAATCTAGAAGAATATTCTAGTAATTATTACAGTTAAAATTGATATTCACTAACAAATGTCATCGTTACTTTAACAATTATCTACTCTTTTTTTTTCAGTTAACTATTTCTGAGATTACGATAAGAATGGCATATTTTCAGATAATATAATCTAACTGCTGCATGCCGGAAGCTTAATAATGCAAAACATTATTTATCAGACAGAAACAATTTGAACAAGCAAAGAATGCCATTAATGGAGTATATGACCTGCTGCAACCAATCAGTGAAAATGGAAGATGTTACAGAAAGATAGTCCAGTGAACTAAAAAGTATGGATTAAATAACAGAGCACAAAAACAACATTTATGTACTAATCAACTAAGGTATAATAAAAAAAAACTGTAAATATAATGACATAATTAGCATGAATGTTTAACTGACACAGTAAGAAATACCAAAAAATAAGACTACACTCTGAAGATGGTCAGCAGACTCAACATTTTTGGAAAGATTAAAAAAAAAAAAACATAGCAATGCATTAACTGGTATAATAATAGTAAAAGACATTATAAAATCTAATTAGAGCCTGATTGCGTTGAACAGGCTTCTGCTGGCATACAATTCAAAACTAATCAAATCAACTCAACTCTTGTGGAGGTATATACTTTTGAAAGAAAAGGTATTCTCATATATTAATTTCTTAAACAAAACATAATGGTCATCTACTTTTAAAATTAATTTCTTATATTAGTAAAATAAACCACAATTTGACTGTGAATCCTAGACAAAGTAAACAAATAGAAAATTCCTTAATACCTCAGAGATTTGGTTCTACAGAACAGTATAGAAAGTTCTTTTTGACATCAAATGAGTAAGCTAATTTGTTTTTAAAAAAAAGCTAAGGTAGAAGGAAAACACACCACAAACATCAGAAAGAGGCAGTCATAATTTTTTAGCCACATAATGGGTAGAGAAAAACTGAAACTAGTCACGATTTCTCGAAAGATTCTCAGAAAGATATAAATACAAACATAAAAGATATGGCAGATGGAAGATGTTTTAAGGAAGTTAAATGTCGAATAGCTCAAGCAAAGGCAGCATTTTACAAAATGAAGACTATTTTATGCAGCCTTTCTTTGTCAGTTGAGAATTCTTAATAGCTGTATAAATCCTATATTGATATATGGAAGTGAATCAAGGACATTTGGTAAATTAATGAAAACTTATTTGGAAGCTGCGGAAATGTGGTTTTACAGACAAATAATGAGAATACTCTGGATAGATAAAAAGAGCAATGAAGACGTCTTGAAAGAAACTGACTCACGAAGAGAACTGATTGCCCACATCAGAGACAATCCACATTTTTTTTGCTATGTGATGAGAAGGAGAAAATTGGAGTACATCATGACAGTAGGAAAGCTGAGGATAGGAGAGGCAGAGGGAGACAGAGATAACAGATGCTGGACAGTCTGACATCATGGCATGGATGATCATCTGTGTCAGAGTTGACTGAAAGTACACAAAACAGAAGGTTGTGGATAGACATGACTTCTGACTTCCAACTCCACACAGCATGGACTTTAAGAAGAATAAGACATGGCACAGACAGGTGTCAGCATCTGAATGGGTACTTCCTATTGGAGGTAAGAAGATGTGAAGATGCATGACTGCATCCACCAGTATATTATTGCATCTTACAGTGCATGAGTGCATCAACCAAACCAGTGCTTAACTTTACATGTGTTTAACTTCCTCCAGTAAAGCTAGATAGTATCCACCAGTGCATGACTGTGCCCAAAAGTGCATGACTATATCCACCAGTGCATGACTGCACCCCCCAGTACACAACTAGCGACTGCATCAAAAACTGCATGATTGGACCATCAGTGCATAAGCGTACCCACCAGTGCATAACTTCGCCAAAAGTGAATGATAATATCCACTATTGTATAACTGCACCCTTCACTTGGCAAGCTATTTAACATTGATGATTCAACACGTGGAAAGCATGACAGCTCAAACTGGTCAGTGAGGCATGTGATGATGATGATGATGATGATGATGATGATGTATTATTAAACTAAAAATGTGTACCTTTGTAGCTACCATCAGTTGCTGCCAGTGTCTGTCTCTGATAGCTGGGTTCTGCAGTTCACTCACAGCTCTCAGTGATGTCAGCATGTTCTTTACCACATTCTCCAGTCCAATGAACACATCCCAAGATCTCATTTCCTTATCAAGAGTTCTAATATCCTTGGCAAACTTCTTACAGTCTAGGTCCATCTGCTCCACATTAATCTCCTTCCATGGAGTTGTCTTCCAGTCATTGATACTGCTCCGAACAATGGTGACGTAATCCCAAAGTGTTTTCAGCATTCTGAGTTCCTTGCGGCATTGTTTGAGTTGTTTGAAGTCTGGAATGCTAACCTCAAACAGTCCAGCAGATTCTATCATTGCTGCCATCTTTTGTTCCATCTTTTTGATTTCTTCATGATACTGCAAAGAAATAAAATATATTGTATCAATAAACCGTAAATACCCAATTTTAAAACAAAAAAGAAAATATTAACTGACTTACAAACAAAAAGGGAAGTAGGCAGTGAGGTGAACTGCCATCCTGGTGGTCATAAGGTTTGAATTCCTAACAATGTTTAATGTTGAACATTGAATTAAGAATCGACATCACAGCACTCGGGACACCCCCCTAAGCGCTAATAATAAGCAAGCAAAGAGTTCAAATTCTGATGGTACCAGTAACTGTCTGATTGTATATCGCCTTTTTCCTGAGTGTTGAGTGATGGCCAGATCCAATTGTAACTCCTCGTAGTGCCATTCTCCTCAGACCGTAATGATCTATCTGTGCCTCGGTACTGTTCACTCGCTTCCAAAGGGCCCTCATAACATCCAGCTTTTCATACATCAGTTTACCACCAAGTGGTGCAGAAACGGCCAGTCTATCTGCCTGCTCATTTCCCAACACACCGGCATGACCTGGAGAAAATATAATTCCTAACAAAGCAGATAGTAAGTCTGGCTTCAGCTTCCAGATCAACAAAAGTCAAAAAAGCAAATTTGAGCACTTATGAACTGAGTTGTTTGATGTGCAGTGAGGATGACTTATTATTGTTGACTAACAAACTAGTTTCTACCAAAGACTGAATCAACCAGCTCAGATTAAATACAGAAGCCAAAAGGTCAAAAAGTTTGCCTGTGTTGGTTTTAGAAGGTTCCATCACAACTGTGAGTCAACTGCCATAACTACTGATCTGTGGAATTGATGTCTACAACAGGGTTTACTATACTATCTTAATGAGGAATCTAACAGGTTCTATAGCGAACACCTGGGTCGATGGAGGTATATTTCACCTGGGACAAAAGCCATATATACCCAAAACTGCTAAAAAGCTCTCCACTTTGTAGGTAATGTCTACCTAAGGTTTAATTGGCAGCTGAGTTATGTGGTTTTATAGACGAATGATGAGAAAACCCTGGACAGATATAAAGAGTAATCAACATGTCTTGAAAGAAACTGACTCACGAAGAGAACTGATTGCCCACAATCAGAGACAATCTACATCCTTTGATCATGTGATGAGAAGGAGAAAACTGGAGTACATCGTGACAGTAGGAAAGTTACAGGCAAGGAAAGTCAGAGGGAGACCGAAAGAAAAAATGCTGGACAATTTGACAGCACGGCATGGAAGATCATCTGTGTCAGAGTTGACTGAAAGTACACAAGACAGAAGGTTGTGGATAGACATGAATACCAATGCCACACGGCATGGACTTTAAGAAGAAGCGTTAAACTTTCTCAAATTAAATAAGTAAAACTATCATTACTACAGCAAGCAGTTATGTTATCAAATCAACATCACTGCACGCTGGGCATTCCCATGCATGCTCAGTCTCTAATGAAACAACCACCCCAGAGTACTTCTACTGACTGTTTTTCATGAGAGGGTGGCTATAAGGACTCCTTTGACCTCAAAGACAGCATTAAAATGCGCCACCATGCTTCATTCCGAGTTCATTCAAATGTATTAATGTCAGATTTTCATTACTATCTGCCAGTCCTGTCTGTACAATAGCATTGACAGTATCTGCTAGTAGATTGCATATAATATGTGATTAAGGATACTGTGATGACCAACAGATAATAAGCACTATGTGACATAACAATATGGACTGTTTCATTGCCATAAGTGAGTAAAAATGTCAGTAATATTTTCATTTGATATATCTGGAAACAAGTTACATTAAAAATAATTACCATATCAAGGTATTCATAAGGCTTGTCACAGTCATATTTGAATGGTGGGATGTTTCTGAAGTTTTCGCGGAATATGATCTGACTTGTGTCAAAGGCTGCACTTTTTCTGCGAATATTTGTAACTTCATTAGCCTGCAGTGGTGCCACCTGTTGCTTGACAGTAATGGCAATCTTTTTGGTGTTGGTCCATTGTTCTGGCAGTTCCTAGAATTAACAGATACAAACTATGTGAGGAATTTTCTATACATGAAAAATGGTGTCAAAAATTTTAAATTATTATTTACTAGTGTTGCAATCTTGTAATAAGAAATATATACAATATAAACATAAAGGAGAAATATATAAGATAAAAGAGCAGGAAAAAGATTTAGCAGCAGGTGCGACCGCAATCGAAACCCACTGTGGGCTGCGTGGTTTTTATCGTGGTATGGGACATCGCAGGTCGACCCAGCCTCAAATGGGTACCAGGATGGGCTGTCCTGAGGAAGTAAAGACGGCCGGCGTAATGCTGATCACATTACTCATTGAGTGCCAATTGGTCTGTAAAAATATGGGTGCTCTTCCCATATGCCCGATGTGCCTAAAGGCGTTAAAAGGGATCTTTACTTTATTTTGTTGTTGCTCTGCAACAACCATTCAATTTTTAAAATCATGTGACTATATCGGGTGATATGATTTTTTCATTGTCATTGGAATTAAGTTGTTCTTCTTCTTCTTCTTCTTCTTCTTCTTCTTCTTCACTTCCTCTTTTACCGCTGTGGGTGTCGAGTGAGATATAAGGTTCTGTTTCTAGCTCTTCTGGCTGCCTCGACCATAGGCACATCGTGCTGTTGTAGAGTTTCTCTGATGTTATCCTTCCATCTTGTTCTTGGTCTACCCCGTGCTCTATGTCCTTCTTCTCTTTCCATGTATGCTTTGTATGGTATGATTAAGTTGTTTAAATTTGTTATTTTGATAAGTGTGTTATATTCCTATCAGATAATAATGAAGACTGATCTCTTCTGATTTGACTTTTTTTTTTAAACCACTTTATTTGTTTTAGCTTTAATATTATTTTACTAATATTATGATACTAGTGCATGCCTGCTTTTACATGTCAGCCATATATATTTCATCATGTAGTTTTATTAACTGAATTCTTAAGGAATGACAATGGTTAATATAAAATCCCCATGAAAGCACTCCCTCTAAAAATAGTTTGCAGTAACAATTGCTAATTAATCCAGTAAGATACTGGTTGTAAAGGAATCAGATCATCTCCTCATACATCCCAGCTTGTGGTACCATTGGGATTGGAGCTCTGTGCTAGCTGTTGAAGAAGACAGGGATGGATCGCTTATGGGAATGTCACAAGTGTTGTGATGCTGGTTCTTAACTCAACTCAACTGAATATCCCTGCTTGCCAGATCCATGTTTGTAGGAAAAATTATTTATCCCTAACTCTTTCAGTATCAAACAACGCATCGTGTGTGACTGCATTAACTCTTGTGCACCAGTCAACCTGCACGTTTTAAGTTTAGTCAGGGCACAGTAAAACACCCAGCAACAAAAAGTCTCATACAAGTGTTGTGAATTCATTTCATGTTGATGTAGAATAGTTTTTTTTTCTGTCAATAATTGCCTTGTTGGGGCATCAGCTATGGCCCTCTGGGACTAAAAAAGAAGGGAAGATTGTTCACTCTGTAAGTGTGGTCACTCAACAGACAGTATAGACTGGGTGATACATCTACCAGCAAGGAATTGTTTAAATATAAAAACTGTTAAGGCAGTGATCTGGATTCAATCCTCCCCAGGAAAAGCAGGATTTTTTTTCCCTGATCTGGGTCGAATCAGTCTCATAAAAATAGGTACCACATAATTTTCTAAGAATTGTCTGAGAAGTAAAGATAATGATGAAGAGAACTGTTGATTCCATTTCAAATTTTACAACCTAGAATATATGAAGCCCAAACACTTAAATCAGTCAAACTAGGGTACTTCTAATGACTGTTCACATGAGAAGTTGGTTATAATGTCTTCTATCTTGGCCTCAAAGAAGGCACCAATGTGCTTCACCAGGCTTCACTCCAAATTGAAAACCCCAACTAATATGGACTACCATTACGAAACAATTTAAACGAAACAAAACTGTCAGTTAGATCACACATACTTGTAACTGTGCATGAACTTCTTCTGGCATCTCCTGGTTATAAGTCTTCAGCAGTTCAATTGTTTGCTTTAATGGTTCAAACATTTCATCAGTTGATTGCTGTCTTTCTCTCACAGCAAACAGGTGACCCATGACCTCGACAAGTCCCTGGTAATCTCCTTCCTTGACTTCCCTTTGAAGGCCAGCATCAGTTGTCTTGATAAATGCTTTCAGGTTGTTCAGGCTAGGAATGGAGTAAACATTAAAATTTTTTCAAAACCAGCTTTAGTTTCTTTGGACATCACTTTTTCTTTTTATTTTGGACCAACATGTTAGTATTAGTGCATATGTAGATAACAGATAATACTGTTGAGGGCAGCAACAGTAAAAGCCACTTTTCCGATTTTTGCAATTGTTTCCAGGTCGATGAAAAATCTAGGACATATAATCCTGACATTCCATGTTGCAAGCTGAAGTTTGAATTTGCTTTTAATTTTATTTCATGGTGCAATAGTTTTTACGGCATGTGATATAAATGTTGTCATAGTTCAAAGCACAAACTGAAGCATATAGATTGTGGCAGATCAACACCTTATTCGCTGGGAGCTGTCCAACCTGAAATTGATGGTAGCTCATCAGCGACATTTGAAAACTGTCTCTCACTATCAGAGGTAGCCTGTGGTACTCTCGTCGATGCCAGCTGACAAGGACTTATAACTGTTGTCTCTCGATTTGTTTGCTAGACCACTTAAAACTAGAACTGAAGTAGCTTCTCGCCATAGCACAGAGCCACGGCAGTGTTGGAGAGACTACGTGTTGCCCAGGCAGCACAGTCCCCCTCTTTTTGACCTTCTCTTGTTAACTCAAAAGTAAACACAAAACCTATATGTTTATAATAGAGCATGCTGCAGAAGCTACAGATTAAATAAAACAAATGGTCTTCACAAATTAATTCAGTGTAAAATGCAACAAACAATTACAGGACAACACAGTGTAACTTACAATAAGATTAAATGAAATTCAAAACAATGTTTTCCCACTGTGAATTTAAAAAATCCAGACATATAAAAATACATTAAACAATTTATTTTTTGGCATATTTTGATGTATCTCATCAGGTGTATTGCTACAACAATGCTCTGGGCACAGGCAAACGACCACAATCAAGAAATTAGAGATAGAAGAAGTGCACAGCCCTGAGGGATGAAAACATTAGAAGAAACAAACACTAAAGCTCACACCAATTTTGAGAGATGTGCCTGACTTCTTCATACGATCATGAAAGATCATCATCATCATCTAGCAGGTCCTTTGCAGAAAACGCTCTCATCACGGTCTGCGTAAAAGAAACTCAGTTTCTCGCCAGCTTTCCCGCCTCATGTACTTTCATACTTAAGGAGTCACTTTTTTCCTGTGCCCCTCCCCCTCCTTCCTGGTACCATGCCTTCTGCTATAATTTTTTACAATCCACCGTGGCAATTGATATGACCAAAATATTTCAGCTCCCGGGACAGGATGCTGTTTATTAGCCAATCTTCCTGGATGTTCAGATCTTTCAAGATGTCAGTATTTTTTCTCTTCTTTGTCCAAGATATTCTGAGAATCCTTCTATAGTATTTCAGCTCAAAAGCCCCTATTCTTTTTCTTAAGGACTGGGAGATAGTCCATGATTCACCTCCATATGTTGCTACAGGGAAGATGCATGCTCTCAAAATTCTTATTTTGATCTCCTTGCTGGTGCTTGACCAGACTTTTAATGCTGTTTAATCATGAACGATATCAAACCAAAAAGTAGTACCAGTTAACTTAACATTATTACAAATGACAAGTGAATGTTGCGGTTAGAGAGCACATCAGCACATTACTTGAATATATTAAAGTTTGCTACTTCATACTAAAGTGAAGAAAAAAGGTACACAGCAGGAACACCAAATAAGTCACCTGTTGGTAACATGGTCAATCAGATGTTGTTTGAACATGAAGCTCCAGCGCTTGATGATGTTCAGAAGTGACATCTTAAATGGTTTTGCATCCACCCTGAACCAGCTGTCAAAAATCTCAGTGTCTTGAATGCGCAGTGCCTCATCATATATCTTTTCATACGTGTCAATCTGGAAAAAGTGATGGTAATTTCATATGCTTTCAAGTGTTAATGTGCAAAACAGTAACATATCCTCATTCAATTTCAAGGGGGCCAAGGTAGAGTAGTGACTAGCCGCTCACCTGCAAGCCCATATGCCTAGGGTTTGCATGCACATCTTCTTTTTCTTCTTTGTGTACTCTGTCTGTAAAACCTTCCAGTGGAAAAGTCCTCATAATTTTAGTCTTTTTCCAGACTTTTTGCGCACCTTCATTGTAAAATAGGGTTTTATCTGTATGCAGCTACTGTTTCTTTGCTCTCAAGCAGGTGCATTCCTTGACTTTAAAGCGCCCTAATTAGTGACTTTTGCGACCTACATTAGGGAGGTTCAGCTCTGTGCTCTAAGTCGGATGCGCATGCCGTGATCGATGCGAACCAGGATGGACGGACATGCGCCTTGCGTTGGTTTCAACAGAGGTATCAAGAAAGCTGACCGTTCAGAAGCAATGGCAAACTACTAGATGAAAATTTGCCTAGAAAAACCACACAACAGCCAGAGACTGTTTGGGTTGGTTTTGCAACGTCCTGTAAAGGATACACAACTAACCTTGCTAGGGATGCAGTGAGCCTAGTCTTATTGTTTTCCCTACAATGGGGCCCTGGAATCCAAATGGTGAAATTGCAAATGAGTCAGATTTTCTTTCAAACTATGGCTTCCATGTCGATAAGCTTAAATTGGTACAGAGTAAAGTCCAAAGACATAAATGCAGCTGATGTGATGTTGACCACATCACCCACTCAAAAACAGGGGGACAGATTGGCTGGATCGATACCAATGTGTGGTGAACTGATACATGACAAGGCAGATGTGGTCAAGGCCTTTTGGAAACAAGCAACAGAATCAGCAGAGAAGATTATTATTGCCTGGAAAGAATGAGGAACCTGGGTGTAACCAGAGAGTCTGGTCGTCTCACTACACTCAGAGGAAAGGCAAGACGGACATATAACCAGATTGTGACTGGTACCATCAGTATTGGAACTCTGCGCTGGCTGCTGAAGATGAGGACGGAGCCTGCCCTGAGTGCTGTGATGTCAATTCTTGACTCAACACAACTCAACACAACTCAACTCAAATAAACAAACACTGATTGGTTCATAAAATTATGAGGCTAGCATCATATGCCTGATGTACCGATTGTTGAATGTTGAATTAAAAATCAATATCACATCACTTAGGATACTCCCATAAACGCTTTGTCCTAATCTTCATCAGCCAGTAAAGAGTTCCACTTCCGACTGCACCAGTAATAGTCTGATAATTTATCCATCTGGCTCTCCCCTTGAGTGTTGATCCTTGGCCACATCTCCTGGTCACTCCTCGCAGAGCCACTCTTCTCAGACCGTGGTGATCTGTTTGTGCCTCTGCACTGTTCACTCGCTCCCAAAAGGCCCTTAAAACATCAAGCTTGTCATGCATCAATTCCCCACTAAGTGGTGCAGAACCGGCCTGTCTATGTGCCTGCTCATTTCCCAATACACCAGCATGACCTGCAGAAAATATCCAATATATAACTACTGGACCTCTGAAGCGATGCTTCCTGATGTACCGCTGATGAAAAAAAGGGTCCTTTACTACTTTACCTGTAATAAACACCACAGACTAGCTTTGCACACCTTCAACTGTGCAGGTAAGGAATTGTGTTGATAATGTAAAAAAAAAAATGGTAAAATGAAATGAGCATTTACAATCAACAATAAAAAGAGGAGAAGTCACAAACTTTAAATACATGGGCTGTATAATTAATAACTATGAAAAGTGCTCACAAGAAGTTAGAAAAAAAATTATGAGATCATACATCATTCCTGTGGCAATATGCATGTGAATGATGGTCCATTTTAAAATTGCTAAAAAAATGAAAATCAGGGTTTTTAAAAATTAGCTATTACAGGCAATTTCTTAAAATATCACGGATTAAGCATATTAAAATACATTCTTCTTCTTTATATAGTCTATACTGTGTGAAGTTGGTGGTCATGTCTATACATAGCCTTTCATCTTGTGTACTTTCAGTCAAATCTGACACAGATGATCTTCCATGCCTTGATATCAAACTGTCCAGCATCTTCTCTCTTGGTCTTCCTCTGCCGCTTTTCCTGTTAGGATGTACTCTACTTTTCTGCTTCTCATGACATGATGAAAAAATGCACATCATCTCCTTCTGATATGGGCAGTGGCTTCTCTCCATGGGGCAATTTCTTTCAAGGCACCTTCATAACTCTTTTTTATCAGTCTGGGATATTCTATTCATTTGTATATAAAACAACATATCCACACATAATTTTTCACTGACTGGCCAATTGTCCATGATTAACTTCTATATATAATGACAGAATTTACAAAGCTTTTAGGATCCTTTTTCTCATCTCAATTGATAAAGAAAGATTGCCTACAATATTCTTCATTTTGAAATTCTAAAAGATTAGAAAACTGAAGTAAACAGCCTCATAAACAGTATAAAACATGACAATGGTTTAATAAAACAGTAATGGAAGGCATAGTTCCTGGAGAAAAAACCAAAGGTTGACTAACACAAAAGGCATTAAAGAAACATTAGGTACTAATAAGTATAAAATATGTTTCAATGATTAAAAAAAAAAAAAAAAAGGTAAATCTACCTGCTCTTTGAACTGAGCCAGTGTTGGCGGACTTTCTGGCACCCCCTCATCAGCATGAGCTTCAATCTCCTCAGTTGTAAGAACATGGTTGTAGAGCAAGAATTGTCTCATAAACTCATTCCGATCATCCACCCACAAATAGGCATAGTTATCAAATGAATTTCTGTACTCATTTGCCTTGTTCATGATGTTTTGAACCCTATCCATAAGTTCCTGACGCATCTCACTCAACTCTTCCATGTCTTCGAGATCAGGCTGTAAAAAGAAGGAAAGATTCAAAGAAGATTTTTCTATCTAAACAGTATCATGTAAAAAATATCAAAGCTGATTCTTTTTAAATATGATATTAAAATTTTTTTTTTTTTTACACAGGCTCCTAATAAATTAGTCAAAAATGTATTTATATCCAGTAATTTTTTTTTTTTAATATTTAAAGAAAAAATTAAAAGAGTAATACAAAAATGAAACAGGGTGAAGCATTAAATGGAATACATCCCCTGGGGCTACTAAAACAACTGGAAGTGTTCACTTTTTTGCCTGGGTGAAAGCGTTAAGTATCATATCATCAGAAGAGCAAGTGAGAATGAACTATGTGCAGGAAGTGATGATTCCTTGAATGAGTCTAGACATCCCCAGTGGGCTACTAAAACAAATGAAAGTGTCAACTTTTTTGCCTGGGTAAAAGCGTTAAGTATCATATCATCAGAAGAGCAAGTGAGAATAAACCACGAGCAGGAAGTGATGATTCCTTGAATGAGTCTAGAGAAAAAAAATTATATGCAAGCTCCATAAAAATGGAAGCATCCTTGAAAAATGCCAGTGTTATGCTGAGCTTTCCATGAGGATTAACAGCATGCATGTGGCTGTTCAAAGATGCCTTCCCCCTTATTTCCCGACAGTTAGAACAAAAGCACATGATGCCACCACATTGAAACAACATCTACACAAAGACTAACCAGAAAGACTAGCTCATTGAGCAAACTTCGGTTAAAGTAGTTGGATCTTCTGTAGATCTTTCAGTTTAAAGGCTCATAATCTCACAGCTTCTTCTTCTACATTCACCCTTTAATGGGCAGTTGGCCCACTGTGTTGGGTTTACAGCTAGACTGAAACATCTTCACCTTTTATCCTAACACATCTTATTTCTTCTTTTTCTTTTCGTTCACCAGCTGTAAACTCTAGAGGAACGTTCTGGTTGTTCCTCTACTTCTGGACTGCAGTCCTGTTCCAGAACCTGAGTGTTGCGTGTGCATCCGTTTTACAGATCTGACTCATTGGTATGCAGACTGCTGGTTCCTTGCCTCTCAGGCAGATGCACTCCGACTTCGAAGGAAGCTCCCAATTAGTTGACTCTTACGACATGCTTTTTGGTAGGCAGTGGGTCTATTCTTGTTTTCCCTATAATAGGGCCCCGGAACCCACATGGGTAACACATCTTATTTCAATTAATTGCCTTATATGACATGCTTGTATAGGAGTGATGAATCTGCCCCCCCCCTTTCCCACACACACACACATAATGGAGCCACTAGAAATCACATGAGGAATTTCACAACTGCTATAAGCAAGCTCAGTGCAAATAATGCCCAATACAGAAATTGCAAACCAGATAAAACTAATAAAGGGGGTTTTGGGAAAAACTGGCAGAATTAGGCAGCTAACAGATCCATAAATATATGATAAAACCATTAAAATGATATCTAGAGAATACACAATAAGATGGTACTTAAATGAACAATGGTGTATAAAATGATCAGAATGTCCAGACTGACCACCGCAATCATTGCCTTCAGTGGGCTCTAATATAAGATGCAGTAATCTGTTAAAGTTTAGAAAAATCTATTTACTAGGTCGTCTCAAACATTTGGCTATTACTGACTCATAAACTTTAAATAGGTTGCATTAAAGAAAGCTATAAATATATTTTCATGTACTATTTTGAAACAAATATTTTACTATTTATAAGGTTTCCTACAAAAGTTGACAATTGATTAACACCAGATTGATTAGCTTGTAGTAAATTTTCAAACTGCTCATATCTGATTCATCATAAAACTACCCAAATTACACTTTTGCATGAATAGGAGCAATAACCTGGTAATGCTGCTGTCCTGAATGCTCTGCTAGTCGTGAGATCAGAGAGGCTTGTTTGTACACATCTCCAACCAAACCATCAACTTCATCATAAAAGCCATCAGCTACACCAAAGTCCAGAGAAGGCACAAAAACCATCTCAGGCACACGGAGCTCCAGCTTGGCCTCAAAAAGTGATCCTAGGTTCAGCTTAGGATCTAGTGACCAAACATAAAATACAATTTGTCTGTTGAAATATGTTTCAATATTATAAATATAAAATCATGGTCTTACTGTGAGTACTTTGCAAAGAAGAATAATGACTGTACATAAATCTTTGAATGTAGATGGAGAAGACTATAAGAAAAAAATCATGGTGATGTATTATTGTTAAATATCACAGTTAGGTTATATTTTTCTTTTGGAACATTTTCAAACCAGAATTTTTGTAATTTTTTTCAGTACTACAGCAAATACCTGAAAAGGAAAAACCAAGCTATGACAACATTATTTCAAAGGGGCTAAATGCTGAGTAGAAGTGCCACTTGGGAAGTTCATGATGCATTTCTTATTTTTTATTTTTTAAATATAACATAATGTTCATGCTGTACTACACACAGCTGTTATATTACCTATTAATTAGTTTAACTGCACCTGTCCTATACTATCTCTAATTAACCTCTAATAAAATTAAATAACCTCTAATTAAATCATACCTAAGTATTTTATGGTTTAAGCTCAGTTCCTTGGAATTTGTTAAAATAACAACTGCTAGGATATGAAACAATTAAGTTGTCATATGTTTTAGGTTTTCTTTTCTCATAATATAGCCACAAATTGTAGACTGTCTCTTACCAATGTTTGTAATCTTTTTGATGTTTGTGATCTTTCTGGTGTTTGTGATCTTTCTGATATTTCAGATCTTTCTGATGTTTGTGATCTTTCTGGTGCTTGTGATCATTCTGATATTTCAGATCTTTCTGATCTTACTGATGTTCGTGATTGCTGATGTTTTATAATCTTTCTGATTTTTGTGATCTGTCTGATTTTTGTAAATTTTTTTGTTTTTTTGTGGGGGGGGGGGGGGGGGGGGGGGGGGGGGGGGGGGGAGAGAGGTTGACCTTTCAAAGCTCTTTATGAAACCCTCCTATCTTTCATTCAAAGAAGAATTTATGTCTTTTTTGAAATTCATTATAATTTATTACTATCAAGACTATAATGAGTGCCCAAAAAAAGTTATTTATTTTATGGCTACAAGCCAAAATCCCTGACCAAGTGTCTATAGATCTTATTATGTGCTCACTTATAATAAAAAAAGGAGAAAGCAAAAGCTCTTTCTAAGTATAGTTCTGCCCACTGTTAAAAGTAAGAGACTATATTTTAGTTATACACTGGATGGGATTTAGGCAGAAGAGCCTGACCCGGAACTCAAAGATTTCAAAAATGTATCCCCTTATATCCCCACGACGGATTGGAAAAAATAATAGCAGACGGTGTACCAGGAAGGAGGGGCAGGGGCCGACCAACACGAAGATGGGCACAGGATACAAGTGACTCCTTGAGTATTAAAGTACATAAGGCGGGAGAGCTGGTGAGAGACCGAGTTTCTTTCAGGCAGACCGAGATGAGAGCGACGTTCTGCAAAGGAACTGCTACATGATGATGATGATCCTCTTATAACTATTTTTCTGTCAGTTTTTGTTTTGCTAATATAATCTACTGTTATTTCCTCCTATTCTTGAAGTTGTAGTTAATTATTAGCAGTTCTTTTACATTTAGTTTTATAATGACTCTTTAATCTTCTACATAGTTTTTTGTACCTTATATCCGATCAGTATTTCCAATCCTTGTCCCTCTCTGCCTGCATTAAAATATTTTTTGACTTGCCTCAAATTAATACGTGAGAAATAACAATATAGGGTGTATGTTTAATGATTGAAGACTTTTTGAAATCAATTAATTGCACACCACAATTAAATTTTTTTATTGCGTCCTGTTTCAAGTGCCACATAACCGTTAGTTTAGAATATCACTGCTATATACTATTTTTTAAAATCCTAGCTAAAATGGTGTTAGCTATTGAAGAAAGAGTATTTTTGGTTGAGCATGTGCTCCTTAATTGTGGTAGGTATTTGAATATGGTTGTTCAACAATTTATGATGTCACTACCTGATACTCAAGTGCCTCATCCTAATTCCAGTAGCAATTATGATCAGTAGAATTGATTGTGAATAGAGCTGTAATGTGGTAAACCAGTACCCAAAACAAAACAGAGTATAGCAGTATATGTTCCATTAGCTCCGCAGACGGTGATTACAAAAATAGGAATGGCAATATTTTCAATACATATAAAAAGTAAAAAAAAAAGTAAAGTTCCCTTTTCACGCCTTTCGGCGCATCGGGCATATGGGCAGAGCGTCCCATATTTTTACAGACCATCAGCACTCTGTGGGTAATGTGGTCAGCATTACGCCGGCTGTCTTTACTTTCCCAGGACAGCCCATCCTGGTACCCATTTTAGGCTGGGTCGACCTGCGACGTCCCTATACCACGACAAAAATCCACGCAGCCTGCAGTGGGTTTCGATCGCGGTATGCTGGCTTACGAGTCAGACTCGCAACGCCTTAGCCACGGACGCCGCTTTCAATACATATAGTCATTAAAAATGCACCCTGTATAATATCACTAATATGTTTTTTTTAAAAAGTTAACAAAAAAAAAAAAAAGCAAAAAAAAAAAAAATAGTTAACATCAATGAAATTAATTAAATATAGAAGGATTACCTGTGTTGTTCAGCATGAACTGAAGGCTGCAACGAATGGTGTTAAAGAAACCATCCACAACCATTTCATCAATGTAATCCACATAAGCCTTCCAAATATCACTGTTGACATCAGCTTTTAAGTACTCCAGATTTTGCTGTTAACATCGATTGAATCATGTTTTTAAAAAAAAATGTCCTAATATTTCAAAGATTTTGTTTTTACATTCAAGTCCATTTACTCTAGCTGATTTTCTTGCTATCTTGTGTTTGTAAATGCTCGTATGTGGTTCAATATTCCAACATATTTACAGTAGTAAAGAAATATATAATACTGATCACAGGTCACTGATCACAAGCTAGAATATGCTTAGTATTATTAACTGCAACATTGTACAAACTTGTTGCTATGGAGTTGATTTATTGTTTACTAACAAAATACATATAAATACAGTTCAAATACCAATAGTTAAATATAATAAAGGAATACAATATTAATTGTTTAACTCTTAACTCTTTGAGTCCCAAGGAACGCATCATACGTTCATAGGTTCCTACCTAGAAGCCCAATGAACACATGATGCACCAATTTTATTACTTTCTTTACTACCCCCTGGGTCTGTGATGCTAAACCCCCTGGGACTCAAAGAGTTAAGGAATATAGGATTTTCTCAGGCTGAATACAGAATTTTACTTTACGTTTCATGTGTCAATTTTCAGAATAATGGTAATTTCAGAATCACTTGCTTCCAAGTTACATTTTTTTAAGTTTAAAATTTTTTTATACACATAAATGAATATATATATAATATTTGTAGATGTATATATACTATATATATATATATATATATATATATATATATATATATATATATATATATATATATATATATATATATATATATATATATATATATATACACACACATATATATATATATATATATATATATATATAAATATATATATTTCTGTGTGTAAATATACACACGCACATATATATATACATATACACATATATTTACACACACACACATACACACACTATTTTAGCGCAGTCGATAAGAGGCTTGCTTTCAAATCCAGCTGATTCGCTGCAGCCCACGGTCGGTGTAGGAAATGGGTACCAGTGTTGACTCTGGAGTGAATGGAGGAACGTCACTATAGCAACAGAGTTACGTGCGGACGGCGACACAGGCAGACAATTCTTATCAGCTATCCGTACCGGTGGCAGAGCACTTATGGTTTATAACCATGTGCAATAACGCTGGTTCACATCTCCCGACTTTACCTTTACCTTTTACACATAAATATTTATGCAAACAATGGTTTAAAAGAGAATATTAAAATTACAACCAAAGTAATATGGTAAAAACTTTTTGAAATTTTGGCCTGCTTTCATGAATGTTTGGAAATATCAGCCCCAGGCACCATCCTTTTAAAGTTAAAAAATACTTTTAGTTATCCACTAAATATAAGCTGTCATTTGGTATTATAATTCTGATGAATGTCTTATAATGTACAAATCATTACAAAAATAAAAATCAACACGACATGGTTCCGAAACATACCTTGACCAGGCTGTGTATGTTATCCCCAGCTAACTTGATGTCAGCATATCTTTTGTTGATTCTTTCAGGTCTGTCATCTACTTGTAACAGACAGTCATATTTCTCATCTTTCCTTTCAAACAGTGGAGTCTTGGACCATGTAGTCATAATTCTTTTAATCTCCTCCACATTGTCTTTGGACTTTTGAACCCGGGTCTCCAGATCATAGACATGGTCTCTTGTTTGTTCTATGTACTCCCACACACCTTAAAACAAATGGATTTATAGGAACAGTTATAAATCAATCATTTTTTAAAGTAGGTCTGACTGACTGACTGATTTTCTAACCCACCAGGACATCACACAAGCGATAAACACCTGATGACACAAAGTGCCACCATGCGGATGAGGATCATCCATGGAGAGGTCCTGGAAATCGCGTTCGGCCATTAGACCATATTTATGGCCCTGCTATATTGCGACCCCTGGCAAAAGCCAGAGTAGGGCTTTAAATAACGAAAAATTGCATCCCACAAAGGGAAGGTTTAAAGGGAATAAAAGTAGGTTAAAAAACACATAATGAAAATTATCATTATGAGTAGTAGCTGTAATATTTACAAAAATATCCTGTTCAGCCCTCAGGGTTATAATCTAGATACAAAGTGTGCACAAATGTGTTATCTGATATTTAATATATCATTTAATTATTTATTTTAAGACAATCATGTAATTTTTATTATTGTTTTAAATATTGCTTTTTTTTTAAACACCTTTTTTGGGACTGTGATTAAGATATAAATTGTTCTTTGAATATTTAGAAAATGTTACTAACACTCTGTTTTATTAAAATAGTGGATTTATTACGCACTTAGTTTAGAAGTTGATTATTCTCATCAATTTTATCTTGAGGAGAAATTTCTTCGAATATGGCATAGGCATTCCTTATCATCATGAGCTGGGTTATCTTCATGGCACTCCAGCCATGTCCATGGGTGCTCAGACTCTCACTTTTACATATACATCAAAATCCTGTGGATTAATAGTGCCAGTTATATACTGGTTAACATGGCTTCTAGTACATCTGATGTGCCTCTCATGTCTGGCTATACTGATCATTATTCCAAATTCTTGTGTCATGAACATACAACAGGTCCTTTGCAGTATGTCCTCTCATCACAGTCTGTTTGAAAAAGTCTATGTGGAGTGCCAACTCCCTGTCTGACATATTTTCATGTTCAAGAAGTCTTTAATATCCTGTGTTCATAGTCATACTGGCCAACATATGTCTTGTCTTCTAGTAATAGTGTCATCATAAATCAATGCTCAAAGTTTTCAATTTCTAAGATGTGATAGTATTTATAAGCCTTTCTTTCTTTCCATGTTTAGATCTTGCAGAATGTAAGCATTTTTTCTTCTAGATCCAAGTATTCAGATAATTATGGTCTAACATTAAAGTTTAAAAGCAGTGATTTCATTATTTAGATTTTATTTGTTATGAATAGTAATAGTGTCAGACTTATCATCAGTACAACCTGTTCTTCCTTAGACATTGTTCTCTTCCAACAGCCTTCGGTGACTCACCTCAAGTTCTTTCTTTGTTTTTTATTAGCTGTCTTGAGTTATCTGGGCAAGGGTACCTTCAGTAGTTTGCTACTGCTGTAAGACTGTTCAGTAACATTTCTTTTCGGTTTCTTTGTTGGTTTTTCTGCTATTTTTTCTTTTTTTCATGATGTTTAAGGTGAGAAGATGGACTTTACTGCACCAGGCTTTATCCATAGGTCTCAGTGTCCTCTCTCAAAGTAACTGTTTGCCCACCAAGAATGTTGCACAAACATAAAACTCTAGCTCAGTCAACATCCTTATAGATCTCTAAAACACATGGGCTCATGAACTGACTAATGGAGTCTTAACAAGGAAACTCTTGGGCTGTGTGGTCAAATGCAGTCACTTCAAGGATTTAAGCTAGGTGCTGTGACCTGATTAGCAAGGATCAGATCTTTCAATTCTCAAATCTACTTGATCTACTTGTTTTCTTGGACTCAGAAGATTACATTTAGATAATCCCTCCACTCACCATCACTTCCCCAGTTTAAGAGTTTCTCTGCACGTTGAAGCTGCCTGTCAATGTCTACCAACTGGCCTTCAATCAATGGATACTCAACTTCCAATATGGTTGTCCGTACCTGATAGATGAACCAATGTTAAAAATATAAACACAAATATTTATGGGAATAAATAAAACAATTTAAATCACTGCATCAATAAAAGGACAAAGAGATTTTTTTTCTAAATTTTAAAATTATTCAAATAAAATAAAATAACAATAAATTAAATGAAAAAAAATTTTTTTACAGAAAAATTCTACTTCTTTATTTATAATGAAAAAATTAGCACTTAGAGAAAACTGACTGTGGTTACAATAAATTTTCAGTAGTAAAGGACCCTTTCCATACCACTTGTGCATCAGACAGATGTGAATGTCCCATTTAAAATATTTTTTTTATTATCCCAACTGGCCCTCGATGGGTAATATGGTCAACATCATGGCAGCCGCTCTTATTACTGGTGTCTAGCTTAGTCTGGGCTGATCTGGGAATCAATGTCATTTTTTAAACAAAAATCAGGCTCAGTGTGGATTCGAACCTAAGATGAGCAGGTGAGCATCTAGCCTCTATGCTACTGCAGCTCCTGATCAACCTGTGATACAATGTTAACTCTTTGAGTCCCAAGGAACGCATCATACGCTCATAGTTTCCTACCTAGAAGCCCAGTGAACGCATGATGCGCCGATTTTATACCTTTCTTTACCACCCCCTGGGCCTGTGATGCTAAACCCCCTAGGACTCAAAAGTTAATTATTGAAAAAAATAAATAATGCGGATTTGTAGCCATGGCCCTTGTTGCATTAACTCTTTGAGTCCCAGGGGTTTTAGCCGTTGGGAAATTCCCATTAGCGCTCCGCCCCCACCTTGAGCAGCAAGCAAAGAGATCCACTTCCGATGGCACCAGTAACAGTCTGATCATATATCCACCTGCCCTTTCTCTTGAGTACTGATCCTTGGTCACAACCCCTGTTCACTCCTCGTAACACCATTCTCATCAGAACATGATGATCTATTTGTGCCTCTGCACTGTTCACTCACTCCCAAAGGGTCCTTACAACATCAAGTTTGTCATGCGTCAATTCACCTGCAAGTGGTGCAGCACTAGCCAATCTCTCTGCCTGTTCACTGTCCAACTCACTTGCATGAACTGAAAAACCATATCCTTAGGACGTTAACTACCTGGGACCTCTGAAGCAATACTTGCCACTATACACAGAGCATGCCTGTCCCCATCTTTCTCAACATGCTCTGTGAGTCAGTTACATTGAAAGAAAGACAGAAAGGTGTCAATAAAAAAAAAAATAAGGAAAGTTAAACTCTTCCAATGTTAAGTTATAAAATACAGCAAAATATCCCTTTACCTTGTTATACCACTGAACTGTAAGGTCAAGGTTGGCAACATATTTTCTGAAAGTATCATTTTGAGAATACATGACCTTGGCACTGCTGGGGATTTCCTCCTTCTCTCGTATTTTCAAATATTTGACTTCACGAAGAACAGCAACAAGCTGAAGATTTAAAGTTGATACATTTTTATTTGTGGTTTAAGAACAAAAAGGTGTTTAAAGACAAGATGATTTACTAAATTGCTTCATAATTTATCTCATATAGCTCTCTCTCTCTCTCTCTCTCTATCTCTCTCTCTCCACAGAGCAGCTGGTCACAGCGAAAGCACTGCACAAAGCACAACCTCTCTTAGCTCTAGCAGTGACCCATAGGAATCTCTGAAATAGCTGCACTCTTGAATCTATGGACAGAATCTGAAATCAAACCCACAGCTTTTACAGCATGAGGCTCCCCCACCCCAATTCACAATCGAGACCCTCTTGGAAATCATCATTATCAGGTGCCTTGCCGACTGGCCTGGGCGATCATGCCTATTCATAATCTGCAATCTCCTGCAGTAAGTATCAGTTCGTGTGCCGACACACCTCCATGCCAATTCACCATCGAGACCCTCTTGGGAATCATCATCTTAGGAATAGTACTGCCTAAATTATTCATCATTCATCCATTAAAGTAAAATAACCGGAAAGGCTAATCTAGGCCAAAAAATGCCTCAATTTGGATGTATTGGCCCCCCAAAAAAAAAAACATTAGAGCCATGCTGTAATTTGGCACATCATGAAAAAGAAAGTATATATACATAAAAAAACAAAAAACAAATCGTAGATCCTAAGCAACAGTAATATAAATACCTACCTGAGGATCAAAATTGACAGCAATCAAGTTAGTTTCATCACTTCTTGTCAGAAGGGGCTGTTTCAAATTGAAGCTACATGCATCATCCACTCCTTTTGTCCATTCTCTATACACCTGTTGATTCCATCTATTGACAGACACAAAACATTTACAGTGTATTGCTTTATCCTTTTTCTGAGCCCTTGAGATTTGCTGCTGCAGATATCACCTGCCTCCATCATCTCTGTGATTGGCTTTCTCTTTATATTCAGTGACTGCGTGTTTGTAGGTCTGCCTGTACTTTATCTATTCCATCCTCCAAATAAAAAATTCTCTAATGTTTCTGAGGCTGTAAAACTGAAGAAATCGATAATTGTAGATTAGCTATTTCAGTCCCCAAGATTGCCATGTTGATCCAGTCTGTCCTTGTTCACAAATTTATAATTTATGTTACAAATAATTGTAATAAAATAAAATTTAAATAAATAGTAAGTTTACTCAGTTTGCAAACTTAAGAATATCTGCTATCAAAATAACATTCCTGTGTGAATTTAATTTGTAGAAAGCTAAATCATGCTACCTAAGTAAATACCCCAATTCACCATTTATGTGTTTATTTAAAAAAAAAAGTTTTTACAGGTCATTGAAAATTATTTCTTCTTCTTTTCTCAACTACTGGAATGCCTCACAGCATCAGAGCAGGAGGAGATCAATGAAACTGGCCCTTCAGTTCACTTCGTATCTAGTACTTATCAGTGTCCCGATATTTCTGTGGTCCATCTCCTGCATGGTCCACCTCTGGATCTGTTAGCATTGTATCTGTATAAAATATTACTCTCTTTGGTGCATTCTGTGTTACCAATCTTGTTTCAGAGCCAAACCATTTTATCTGTTGTCTACTGAAAAAGTTTAATATCGGTTCTGTACCGACTCTCCTCCTATATCATCATTGCTGTCAATCTTTCCTTATTACACATGGCATGATATGTAAGCATTTAATTTCTGTCATGACTATTTTCTTCTGTCTTCTGAAGACAGTGTCCATGTAATGATGCTATAAATAGGGATAACGTCAGGGTATGACTGGCATAATTGGGTAAGTTCCTGATAGCATGGGTTTCACGGAGATATGGTGAAAAGACAAGAGTGAGTGGGTCACATGTGAATGCGAGATCTAGGGGATTGAGAATTAGGTGGTCATTCGGTGACTGGACCCCAGACTGGAAGGATGTGAAGCTGAATCTGTGAAGGTGAATCCAGAGTGAGAAGTGCACACGTGGATCTGAATCAGAGTCGAATGAATGTTAGTGCTGAACGACAAGACAGGCAGCGCTATTGAATGATCGTTTAGGCCAGCCGTTGTGTTTCACGGTATGTTTGTTGAGCCAGCTGTGTACATGCAAGTGTCCATCGTCTGAAGCATGGCTAGAGAATCAATCTGTGAGCAAGGCGAGATTGCCCGAATGCTGTAAGTTAGTTCATCTGTTGATTCGTGTCGCTTGTGTTACATTGACAATAAACCTGTGAAATGCGTCAGCTGTTGTCGACCGTCATTTAAAGTTGTATGGCCGTGGAGAGAAGTGCCGTCTGGCTAGAATGAAGTGTGACCTAACACCTAGACAACAGAGTCAGTGTTGAATCTGCACAAGAGAGATTGAGTGTGGGGGAGACACATTACAGTCCATATCTGACACAAATAGCACAGCGTTGGTAAGAATACTGTGTTGAACAGTGCTCTTTCAGTGTTCCTATTCCTGTGCTTGCATTTCAATATTGATGCTATTTGTCCTATAACTTGAAAACTATTTAAAGTGCCATATTTGTTACTACAGTAGTAGGTAGGTTTATTTTCTACTAATGTATTGGTTTTGTAAGTTTCTCTGCTAACATTCTTTTGACTGTTCTTCTTCTTCTTTTGTCATCTCACTGTTACCTGGTTATAGCCCAGTGTCATGGTTTTCTGTATTTGTCTTGCGCTTCTCGAGTGATGGATTTTTTCAACTTTTTCGCAGGTTTCATCTATACCATTTATCCATCTCTTTCTGGGTCTTTCTCTCGCTTTCTTCCCGGACGTTCTACTGTAAAAAGTCTCATATGTAGTCTGTTCTGGCTGAACTCTCACTAGATGGCTGCAACCATCTCATTCTTTGTCTGTCAATATAAAATGCAGACCATGGTCTTATTCCAACTTTCTCTCTAATGATGGTATTCATAACCCTGTCTTGTCTAGTGTTGTTAGTGACCTTGCGGAAACAGCGCATGATATTCAGGATATTAAAATGTCTCACACATAAGTGCAGTATTGAGAAATTACTTACTGTTCTAGCAGGGACATCATCTGTTCATACTTGGTGAAAACAAGTTTAGCGTGATCAGTTTCCATTATTCTGTGTGAAAGAATAAATACAAACAATTCACACAGATAATTTCAAATAATGAGGACACAAACAGTGAATTGTATAATTTACTGCCTGGGGTATTTCGCTGCACTGTGTCAGATGGATGTATCAACATTCAAATAAACATACTTTTTTAATATTTTAAATTAAAAAAAAAAAACTTAAATCCACAATCATAAAGCCCATGATAAAACTGTACATCAGTACAACTGAGTATATGATCTGTGTTTTTAACAAAAACAAAAAGTGATTAACTATCTAAAAGGTTAAAAAAAAACAAAAAAGCAAGCAATGTACGTTCAATTTCTGCTTCTGTGTTTATCTAAAGATGTAAATATGTAGTGCCCATGTACAATATGGCTGTGATGTTTGCACCTTTCCGCCTACACATCAAACTTCTGCAGGCATTTGTTGGCCTGGTCAATCTTACCCAGGGTCAGACTAATTTGAAAAAATAAAATGTAAGCAGAAAAAAAAAAAAAAGACGCCCAGATTCACACAGTGATAGGACTAAAAACAGATTTATCATCATCATCATCATCCATTTACAGAGCATGATGATAAAGGTGGAGAAAGGCATGCTCCATACCGAGTGACAAGTACTTCTTCAGAGGTCGTGGGCAGTTAGCCTCTTTTAGATATTTTTTCCAGGTTATGCTGGCGTTTTGAGAAACCAACAGGCATACAGACTAGCTGGTTCTGTATCACTTGGTGGTGAACTGATACATGACAAGCTAGATGTTGTAAGGGTCCTTTGAAAGAAAGTGAGCTGTGTGGCGGCACAAATAGGTCATCATGGTCTGAGGAGAACGGTGCTGTGAAGAGTCACCATGGGATCTGGCCGACACTGAACAAAGATGGATATAAAATCAGACAGCTACTGATGACATCAGAATGAGAACTCTTCACTTCCTGTTGCGCTTTCTGAAGTGACCCGAGTGCTGTGATGTCAATTCTTAATTCAACATCATCCTGTTGCGCTGCAATATATCATGTATAGCTCACATTCTATTCTATCCTGTGCAATTATTTCAATATCATGGATGGAATCTAGTCCAGCACTTTTGGCCTTTCTCTTCAACGTTCTTTTTAGGGTTTCTTTTGGACTACCTTATTTTGTTGAACAGAATGGAGGAATAGGAAGCTAGCACTGTGTGACATACAATGGCACAATAGGATAATAATGATGATGAAATAAATATGATGCTAATTAACTCACGGGTGCTCCATGCGCCTGTAGTTAACCATGGGTGCTGAAATGTGTTTTATGATGAAATAAATATGATGCTAATTAACTCACGGGTGCTCCATGCGCCTGTAGTTAACCATGGGTGCTGAGATGGGTTTTATGATGAAATAAATATGATGCTTATCAACTTACGGGTGCTCCATGCGCCTAAAGTTAACCATGGGTGCTGAGATGCGTTTTATGATGAAATAAATATGATGATAATCAACTCACGGGTGCTCCATGCGCCTGTAGTTAACCATGGGTGCTGAGATGCGTTCGGCCATTTCTCTAGACCACTCAAGGCTTCCTGTCATTTCTGGCATGTTTTTGTGAATAGGAGCTTTACCAGTTTCCTTCTTGCAGTTCACCTGATTCAGAAAACGAAAAAGATTTTTAGCAAAATTCAATGTTAGATATTTTCAACAATATTTAAAGAAAAAAAAAAAGAAACAGATATTCATGTCATAACTTTTCAATTAGCAGGTTTTGTATTTGGAACCCATTCACGTTTCCTGGGACCTATCTACACACTTTCTCAGTCTGATCTAGGCCAGAAGGGTGTCACATTGTACTGTTTTCTTCTAAAAGAGTCTCTCATGTGACCTAGGCTCAGGTTGTGGGTAGGGGGGTTTGGGTTAGGGCCAGTTGTAAATGTTCTGGGGTTGTTAAAAGCTGTGTCATCATGTAGTATAGAACACGTGACATCAGCGCTGATGTAATTGGATGTAAGACAAAGTGACACTCCTCCGACGTAGAAGAGTCTGAGAAAGTATGAATGAAAGGTAAGCCGGTGTGTAGATGGGCAGGGAAACGTGACCTGGACCTGTATTTGTAATATATCTGTTTCCATGATGCTGCTCATTCTTGTCAAAAAGTATTTGAACATGATTTTTGAATATGTTAAGTCTAACCATTGACCTCTCTGACTGGCCTTCTCTTTCCATTGGTAAGTATAAGTCCTTGTAGGTCTGCCTAAATATAATCTCTGCATGTCTTCTGTTGGCCCAAAGGTCTAGGGTTCAAATCTGCATCACTGCAGATTTCTTTTTTGTTGGCCCAAAGGTCTAGGGTTCAGATCTGCATCACTGCAGATTTTTTTTTCAAAATGATGTTATCTCCCAGTTGGACCCAGGCTAAAACAGGCACCTTGTAATGCCCTGGGATTTAAATGCAGCCGTTGTGATGCGGACCACCTCACCCAACAAGCACCAATAGGTCCATAACATTATGAGTCTAGCAACATATTCCTGAGAGTGAGAAGCAACAACAAAATTCATTATATGTTTAAATCACCACTGATCACTGGCATCATGAGAGCTAACAGACTGAAATGGTTGAGCCACATTGAGAGAATGTCAGATGACAAAGAGGTAAAAACTGTACACACAAGGGAGATGAATGGTCGCAGACCACGAGGCAGACCAAGAAGACAGTGGAGAGATAATGCCCAGACAGACCTGCAAACACTTGGTGTCACCAAATGGAAAGAGAAGGCCAACCAGAGGAATAACTGGAGGCGGGTGATATCTGCAGCAATGAACCTCAAGGGCTAGGAATGCTGAAGAAGAAGAAGAAGAAGAAGAAGAAGAAGAAGAAGAAGAAGAAGGAACTGAAGAAGAAAGAAGAAGAAGAAGAAGAAGAAGAAAGAAGAAAGAAGAAGAAGAAGAAGAAGAAGAAGAAGAAGAAGAGAAGAAGAAAGAAGAAGAAGAAGAAGAAGAAGAAGAAGAAGAAGAAGAAGAAGAAGAAGAAGATGATATACCTGATGCATCACTTGATAAAAAAGAGGGTCCTTTTTTTCTTCTTTCTACCAGACCAACCCAGCTTAAAAATGAGAAATTAAGAAAGCCCTTGGTACTATCAGAAGTGGAATGTGCTGGCTGCTGAAAATGGGGATAGAGTGCTCATGGGAATGTCTTGGGTGCTGTGATGTCAATTTTTAACTCAACTCTGCTCAAGATAGACATTTTTCTTTAATATTCAATAACTGTTTGTTTTCTCTATGACAACTGCAACTGAAAATTACATACAAAAATGAAATCATCAGTGAAGTATAAATCCCATCTGTTTTTTAATAGAAGTTCATTGTGCACATTAGCCATGAGATTTCCAAAACACAAACATTGCTGAGAGAAGCCATAGTTGCTGGACCAGACTCCAATCTTGATATTGAAAAGATAGCACACGATAAAGTGAAATGGAGTAGTCGAATGTGAGCCTTATGTGACACATAACTAGCAACAAAATACTGAATTGCATACCTGCTTATTGTACATCATCTTCGCCTCATCCAGCATCTCGTGCATTTTGTCCACCACAACTAGATACTTTGCATCAAAATCCTTCTTGATCAACGGTCTTTCTAACAGTGATCCCATGATGTCAATCAGCTGTAAATATAAGCACAGTACAGATTAAATGATATTTATACACTCAGAGACAATGTAAAATGCCCAGATAAGCATATAATCAGTTTTACTGGTACCATCTGTTATTCCTGTTTATAAAGAAAAATTTTTTAAAGTCAGGAGATGTGAACCGGCGTCATTGCACACAATTTAATTATAAACAATAATTGCCCTGCCACCAGTATGGACAGCTGATAAGAAACTGTCTGCCTGTGTCACCGTCCAATTGCAACTCTGTAGCTACAGCGACGTTTCTCTATTCACCCCAGAGTGTCAACTCTTGTACCCATTTCCTAGAGGCTGGGTGAACCCTTGGAACTGCTTGGTTTCCAACACCGACCGTGGCTGCAGCGAGTCACAGCTGGATTTGAAAGCGAGCCTCCTATCGACTGCGCTAACGCGGCTCCCGAATACCTGTTTATTCTATGTTATAGAGACTTGGTGGGGAGGGGTGAAACAAGATGGGTACGATCAGTAAGAAAACTCTTTTTTGGCTGTCTGTAGAAGAGGGAAACAGAGCTAAAATGAGCTTGTCCTGAATGCTATGATGTTGAATCTTTACCCAGATGTAGAAAAGGGAAACAGAGCTAAAATGAGCTTCTCCTGAATGCTATGATGTTGAATCTTTACCCAGATGTAGAAGAGGGAAACAGAGCTAAAATGAGCTTCTCCTGAATGCTATGATGTTGTTGAATCTTTACCCAGATGTAGAAGAACCCAGATACTGTTAACAACAGAACTAGAACTCTGTGCTGGCTGTTTGAGATAGGGGATAAATCACTTATTTGAATGTCCTGAGTGATGTCAGTTCTCAACTTAGTTTAATTCTGCAGAAAAACATAGCTGCAAAACCCAAGCAATCATGAACTAGTTCATAAAGACCTTAGCATGAATTGGCTGAGGGTACTTTTTTTTATACTAGGAGAAACAAGAGTAATGTCTGGACAGCCACTTGTATCAACAGTTATAAGAAAAAGAAGATGACAATTTACTGAGCACATCACAAGGAGAAGCAGAGGATCAATAAGCAGGCACTGAAATGAGAAACAAATGGATGAAGACATCCAAGAGAAACCATAATGTGGAAAGAGGCCAAAGGGGCTGGACAGAATTCCATGAGTGATATCTATAGTGGCACAGGACAGAACAAAATGGATTACTGTGCTGTGAGTCCTAGTTGATGTATAATGATAATGATGTTTTATGTGGAGGTGAAAGGCAGAAAAAGAAATATTTTGGTTAGCATAGACACATGAAAAAAAAAAAATTGTGTACAAAATTATCTAAGCTTGCATTAATACTAAGCCTAAAATGGGTATCCTGAAATAGTCAGTAAAGTAAAGACGGCTGGTGTTATATGGAGTCTTTTGACAATGAGAAACCTACGTTTTGCGTAAATATTGTCAGTCTAGGCCTAATCCCATAAGTCCCCTGCTGTGCTGAATCATGATCTTGCCACATGCCTCTATGTCTTTATAAATGTGGAGCTGACATTACATGCTTATCTGTCTATGAATGTGCAGCAAAAGCAAACCTGGTTAACTGCTTAAATGTCTCTACAAATTTAGTTTTATCTAACCTGGTTAACTGTTTAAATGTCTCTATACAAATGTGGAGCATTAGTAAAACTGGTTACATTTTTACATGTCTCTACAAATCTAGAGCATTAGTGAACCTGGTTAACAGTTTAAATATCTCTACAAATGTGGAGCATTAGTGAAACTGGTTAAATGTTTACATGTCATGTTTACATGTCTCTACAAATGGGGAGCTTTAGTGACCTGGTAATCTGCTAACATGTCTTTACAAATGTGGAGCTTTGGTGAATCTGGTTAACTGCATACATGTTTGGGCTGGTATTACACATTAAATTTGTTATGCATGAATTATTTAATTTCTGCAATTAAAACAATTTGATTGATGCCTTTATTTTTCAAATGCTAAGCTGTTATGTGTCGTTATAGACTTCCACTCTTCTTTGATTTCCTTTAATCATTTTTCTTGCAGAACAACAATTATTACACTGCTAACTTGTACAAAGTAATGAGAGAGAGATTAAACAATTATTATACTCTTAACTTGTACAAAGCAATGAGAGAGAGATATTATAAATACCTTGTACATAGACTCCAAACCTGAACAGTCATCAAAACCCTGACAAATAATGGTGGCCACACGACGGTCAAAGTCAGCAACTTTCTCCAACATAACGTAATAGTCATCCATAAATTCCTTTGATTAAAAAAATTGAAAAAAAAAAAAATTCTTTATCATTCTTTTGAACAAAATCAAATTTTAGGCATGATGACAGAATACGGGGCCTGAATCAGAAATATTGAAAAAGTTCCAACAATTTCAGTCACAGCATAACTGAAATTAAATGTAATATGTGTATGTCTCACATATTCTGTTTTAACCAAAAGGTTTAAAACACACATAATTTTTAAAATATATGGTGTATCAAATATACTGCAATTTTATATTTATAATATCGGAATTATCATTTATCATACATATCAAACAACTCACCATACCTAACCTTTGTAATCCCTGAAAGTTAATCTAGCCTTCTTACTTATTAAATTCATTTCTGCTGTCCAGCACTCAGTTTTTAAATTGTAATCAAATTTTTCTTTTACCTTTTCTCTTTTGTCCAGTTACCCGAAAGTGTTGGGCAAAAAGGGAGAGGGGGGAGGTGGAGGGGGAATGGAGCAGGTTGGGAGCTTTTGTATGCTCTTTCTAATGCACTGTCTAAGTTTATCTCTAAAGAAGTATTTGATGCTATCATTCTATATTTTCATGTGGTCTTTCTCTTGTTCTGAGTTTATTATATTTCTTCAACACAGGTCTCTGTGGAAACTGGTATCAGGACAACCTCATCAGATGGCCAAATCATCTCATCTGTTACTCTTTAAGGGGGGAGTTCTAGCAGAGAATCTCGAAAAAATTTGATTTTTGAATTTAGAAACAAACTTGGTATCCCATTAAAGATTAACCAATATCCTTCATGTTTCTGTATAAATTGTTTTAATCGGTTGAGTAGTATCGGAGTTATGATGGTTCAAAGATAGTCAGGTGTTTCTGGTCTTGGTAAAAAAAAAAAAAAATCAAGAATTCGTGTTTTCACAAATACACATATCTTTAGCAACAATGCGAGCCTCCCTAACAGTTTTCCTACAATGAACGACCCTTCGAAGGAACAATCAAAATGTCTGCCTTTGTGGAAGCGTGTTGATATTTTGTTTGTTCTGAAATTGTTTGTATAAGTGATATTCTTAACAATGTCAAGTGATAAAAAGTATTGTAAACATTCAAGGAAGCGAAAGTTTCACGGGAATAGGTTTATGAGTGCTGCAAAGAGATGCGGAGAATTAGATTTAAATAATTCTATTGAGGGCGACAAACATGTAAACACTGACATTCCTACACGTAATTTTTTGACATGTAGTAGTAAAACTAAAAATAATAGGAGAACCAGTACTAAAGTTGACATTCCCAGTGCCACGCCCACTCACAGTCGGTCATCGATAAAAATCAACGACCTGTATGACATTGATGATGATCCAGACACAGATTTAAATGAATGTGATGAGGTAAATAGTCATCCTAAATGTGGCAGTACTGACAGTGAAGGCTACAGGATAGTTGACCTGGATATTCTATGTCATCAGATTTCATCACAGCTGGTTTGTGCATTTTGTTACAACCAAGTCAGACTTACTGAGAACGAAAGACAAGGACTCGGTAGTCAATTTGAATTTGTGTGCAGCAACCAGAATTGTAAAAGGCAGACCATTTTTAATTCAAACCCTCAAATTAGTGTCAACAACAGCAACAGCTTACAAGTACACTCAGTCAATAGGCGAGCTGTCTTTGCTATGCGCTGTGCAGGAGGTGATCGCTCGGACTTACAAACATTTTGTGGAATAATGAATCTTCCGCCGCCTGTCCAGAAGAGTACATATAAACTAATAAATGAAAGGATAGAAAGTGCTGTTAGCTCCTCTCAAGCAGCTAGCATGAAGAAAGCTGCAGAAATAGAATTTAGATTAGCAGAGAAGACAGAGTCAGTTGATGATAGCCGAGATATTGATGTGTCTGTAGATGGAACCTGGATGACCCGAGGACATTCCTCAAAAATAGGAGTGACCACGCTCATTGGCTGTGTCACAGGAAAGGTTATTGACACAGGTGCACTCTCAAAAGTGTGCAAATCTTGTGACTACTGGAACACACAAGACAAGGATTCAGAAGCTTATGAGTTGTGGGAACAAAATCACCAATCACAGTGTACATCTACACATAATGGTTCATCCGGAGGTATGGAAGCAACAATCGCTAAAGAATTATTTTCCATGTCAGTTAAAAAATATAAGCTGAGATACACACGCTTCATTGGAGATGGTGACACAAACAGCTTCAAAACAGTTTCTGATTCAAAACCATACGGTGACACACCTGTTGTGAAGATAGAATGTGTCGGGCACGTGCAAAAAAGAATGGGAACCAGACTACGCAAGATCAAGAATTTTTGGGGGAAGGGAAAGAAACTGTCAGATGGGAAGAATATTGGTGGAAAAGGAAGGCTTACGGACACACAGATTGACTCTATTCAGAAATATTATGGGAATGCAATCAGAGGTAATAAGAATGACTTGAAAGGAATGCAAGAGGCTGTTTGGGCAATATATTTTCACAAACTCTCCACGGATCAAAAGCCTGTTCACAATCTCTGCAAAATTAGTTGGTGCCCATATCAAATAGCTGTTGCTACCAACACAGAAAAGGATTATAAACATAAAAATTCCCTGCCTGCAGCAGTTATGGAGGTCATCAAACCAGTTTTCAGAGATCTCTCGAACCCTGACCTGTTAAGAAAATGTCTAGATGGCTACACCCAGAACGCTAACGAATCAACCAACTGATTTGTATGGCTGGTTTCACTGCATCACTATTTATTCCATGTGACATTTTATTTAAAACAAACAACTGAAAATGATTTAGTTATCTAAGCAGCATCTAATCAATGTATAGGGTTGTCCTGATCCACACAGGACCATAGGTTACACATGGCCTGTCTAGCCAATACTGGTACCCTAAATGTAATTTCTTTGTAGGTAGAATGGGGTATCCGGGATCTGCCTTGTTGGTCTGCCATCCAGATGGAGATTTTTAAATCTCAGGAACCGGAACCGGCACTGCGATAACAAGAATTCAAGTTCTCAAATCACTTAAATTTAGATATAAAGAAACTTACATGGCTACTGGTGTCCAGACAATCATAAGTGCGCTCTGAGAAGACTTTATACTGCTCACAGAACTCTGTGTGGACAGCAAGGACCTGAGCACTTAGTTGCTTCCCCTGAATGCCACCAAGCTCAATCTTTTCCAGTTTATAAAACTCTAGTGCAGTTTCCATCAAATTCTACAGCAAAGAAATTATTATATTTTATTCCTTGCTTACATTATTGGATCCTTACTACAACTAATGAGCAGAAGATCGTAGCAACAGAGATGATATGTCTTAGGAGAGCTGTCAGTGTGATGAGAAGAGATAAAATCAGGAATGACAAAATTAGAAGACTAGGACTGAAACCAGTCATACAGTTCACTAAAGAACAACAAATAAGATGGTTTGGCCACCTGACGAGAATGTCCTGGTAGTAACTGCCATAGAGAGAAGAAATATAATGAACACAGAGCAAGGGAAAGTTCATGCAAGAGATAGAGCAATAACATCAGGACCAACCCAACAAAAATGAACCTTAACTTGTGCAATGCATTGGAAATAGCACACAAATGAACCTTGCATCTCCCTCCGACACCTCAGTGAGGTAAATGGTGGATGACAAGAAGAAGAAGAAGAAGCTTACATTGTGCAAATGGAATGCTTTTATACAAAAAGCTTTGAAAACACATAAATATATAAACAGGGCGGACAATACATAAGACACAAAGAAAGTGCATCATAATGTGGTTTATGTGATCACCATCTTACATGATTGCCAGAATCATGGATAAGGTCTGTGTTACTGTCTTGCTAAATCCATCTAGATATTTATTTGTCTTCCCTCTCACTTGTCCCATCAAGTTTCTTAGTTTTCAAGTTTTCATGATATTCTCAGAAACCACTTTTCCATTGTTGTTAGATATTTGTCATCTTTTCTGCTTATTGTAAAAGTTTTACATGCATGCAATGTTAAAGGTTCCACATAGCACTTCAACATTTTTCTCACCACAACGTTCCTCTCCACAATTCTTAATGGTAAAAGTGCCTGTCGATGATGATGATAAGATAACGGTGATGCTGATGATGATGATGATAATAAATATAGAATTCAGCCTTAATCCTATCGCCCAGAAAAGCCACAAAATCCACAATTCCGTAAATATAACTTTTCTTACTCGTCTAGAATGCCTTACTTACAAGACATGCAATCACTGGTAGAGTTCATGCCTGTGCAAACATTTAGGAGGTCAGAATATAATTATATTAGCTAAAAACAGCATTATGGGGTGATTTCCTGTGAACCAATTGGCTTTTTTAAAGCCAAATTGACGTTAAGTTTTCTCATAAGCCTCAATGATAGAGGTCACAGGGTCATGGCATTAGTCACCTGATACTCATTGTTTTTTTAGGCCCTGGAGAATGTATTTCCTTTTATTCTTCACTTTGCTCATATGTATTAATCATCATCATCATCAATTTCCACTTCTGCTCTGAAGCATCGTGGGGAGGTACAGTTTGCGATCGATTGCCTGATGCGCAGCAATGGCTACTGTCATTCCGTGTCAATGTAGAAGCTCTTTAATGTCATCAATCACTTTTCTCCTAGGGCGGCCTCTTGTTTTGACTTCAGATCTTTTCATGTGTAGCGCCTGTGTTGGTAGTTCTGGCTGCATTCTTTCTAGATGACCAAACCATTTTTTCTTCTGTTTCTAAATGAATTTGCTGCATAGTATTGTTCCTAGTCTGTCTTCTAATATCATTTCTCAGGTCTCTCATTTCACATGTGTTAATGTGTATTGAGAACCCCTTTTTTATCTTTATAGATTCTGAAGAAAAAAAAAGACGTTTAAAATGTAAATAACATTTTTTTTTTTTTAAAGAACTGTAATAGTGACTGTGCAAAACTTTTTTTTTTAGGATTTAAAAAAGGGTGAAGCAAGTACATAATCTGTGCATATTATAGAAGGTAGATACTAAACACTTTATATGCACAAATTTAAAATGATTACCTTGAGAGTTTCAACTCTTTCCTGGAATTTGTTAAATCTGGCAAACACAAGCTCTGGAACAAACTCCCACTGTTTGGGTTGCTTCCCATTTTTGAAGTAAGTGGAGAGCTTGGCTCTGTGATCATCATAAGATAATCGGAAAGAACACAAGATCTTGTGAGCTGTTCGAACTTTTCCAATCACTTCCTCAACTTCACTTTTCAAGATGTCATCGGGAGACAGGAAATTTTTAGCCTGCGAATACAAATTCATAATATTCTAATGGCAGTAAGATGACATTTCTTGTTGAATCTTCTACTTCTTTGTCTTTTGTTCACTTGAAATAGATTATCTGTATTTACAATGTTTAGGTTTAGATGACGGATCAGCATCATGACACAAGGACAGTAACCCATAAGTATTGGAAAGAGCAGGTATTACAACAGTTTTTATTTTTTCAATGCTCAGTCAATAAAGGCTCAGGTGGCTGGATCACACCTAGAGGATGGAGGATGCCAGAGTCCCTAAGGACATCCTCTATGGTGAATTAAAGACGGGTAGAAGATGTTGAGGCCGACCTCTACTAGGATACAAAGATGTGTGCAAGATGGACATGAATGATACAGGTACTAAGAAGGACTTGTGGGGGGGGGGGGGGATGCCATGGACTGTGTTGTGTGGAGGGGGCACATCAGGAAGGAAATTAGAATAAAGGAATAATTGACTGCAGAAAGAATGAGAGCTGATCATCTGAGAAGAAACACTAAACACAAATATTGACAACAATGGTCCTGAAATCCCATGCTATAACTCAGGCGCGTCTTGTTAGTCACTCTTGCCTCCCCATAGCACAATATAACACTATCATCTGGAAAGAAATCAATCCATATATATATATATATTTATATATATATACATATACATACATCATCATCATCATCAGGTGCCTTGCCTACTGGTGTGGGCGATCATGCCTCTCTATAATCTGCGATCTCCTGCAGCATGTATCAGTTTGTGTGCTGACACACCTCCATGCCATGCAACAAGACTGTCAAGCATCTTCTCTCGTTGTCTTCCTCTATCTCTCCTTCCACATATCTTTCCTGTGGTCACAACATGTACTGTTTTCCCTCTTCTCATAACATGGCCGAAAAATGATGACTGTCTCCTTCTGATGTCTGTGATAAGTTGTCTTCAGGCTCCCGCCTCTTTCAATACCTTTTGGTTGCTCTTTTTGGCTGTCGAAGGTATTCTAAGCATTCTTCTGTAAAACCACATCTCTGAGGCCTCTAGAAATTGTTTGGCCTGCTTACCGATTGTCCAGGATTCACAGATACATACATACTAGAAAGTTTGATTAATTTTTCATTTTACTTTCTTCCTAAATTGTATATAAAATGAATATTAAACAGTCTGACAGATACAGTTATTTAATTAAGGTTTAAAGAACGGAATCAAATTATAAAGTTATAGAAATTATGATTTGAATTTGTCATACCATATCAATGATCATGTTGCAAATTTCTTGCAAAAGAACAATGATGCGTGCAGGCGTGTTGTAGTACTCAGAGTTTGCCCAAATAAGACAAACTGTGTTCAACAGAGGTGCCAGAAGCTTTCCACACTCATCAAACTCAGTTTGCTCAAGCTCCTCCAGTTGGAAACGAAGTGGCTTCAAGTGCATGTTGATGTCCTGGGCTTCGGTTAGAGCTGAAAAATAGTCGATAAATATCTTTTTTAGTTAAAGAAATCTGATCACTTTGTTGTTGTTGATAGAATGGATGCAGTATAGTCTCAAAATAGGACATGGTTAAGAAATGTCTTCAAGTATAGTTTACAATTTCACACAAATTAATACTGATGTGATATGCTTATGTCTATATGTATAGTTTACAATTTCACACTAATTAATATGCATGTGATATGCATATGCCTACACACACAGTATACAATTTAACACTAATTAATACTGATGTGATATGCTTATAATCTCCGCCACTACCGCTCCCAAGCCTGGATGAAAAAGGAAGAGGGTTGGATAGGGGGTTTTTGCTACATTACCCAGTTTTTAAAAAAAAGTGTGCTACAAAAACCTGCATAACAGAAAAAAAAAAATATGGCACTATTTTATGCATATTATAAGGAGACATGGAACAAGAATCACCAAGCAAGCACTAAAATGGGAAACAAATGGATTGCAGAAACAAGAATGTCTAAGATAAACTTAAGATGAATGTTGTTAAGAAGGGCAAAAAGGTACTGGACTGGATTCCATTCATGACATCAAAAGGATTGCACAGGATAGAATGGAAGGTAGGACTAGATTGGGATCCCTTTGTGATGTACAATGGCACAATAGGATGATTATGATAAGGACACACTTGTAAAATAACAATAAGCTTTCCTACCTGCTACTACATCACGGAATATATTCTTAAATGATGGGAAATAACTGCTGTTGGCTCGCTGAAGAAGTTCTGCCATCTTCCTCACTTTAGAATCACGCAACTGAAAAGTTATGAAATCCATGTTTACGTAAATATATTTACAATTGCATTTCTAGTATTAAAATATGGAGACAGAACCAAATTAAACAGCAGAGACTTGATGTTAAAAAAAAAGTTTATATAAAAAGAATATGGTGTCTGTGGCTTACTGATTATGGATGCAGTTCGTGACCCTGAAATATTCCATTCACTTCAGCAAAAGACTGCTTTGCACTGATTTCGACAATGGTTTGGATCATCTGCCATCTGTCGTGGACTATCTCTCAGTCCTTAAGAAAGAGAATAGGGGCTTTTGAGCTGAAAAGCTATAGAAAGATTCTCAGAATATCTTGGAAAAAGAAGAGGAGAATACTGGCATCTTAAAAGATCTGAACATCAAGGAAGATTGGCTAATAAACAGCATCCTGTCTCGGAAGCTGAAATATTTCGGTCATATCAAGCGCCATGATGGATTGGAAAAAAACTATAGCAGAAGGCATGGTACCAGGAAGGAGGGACAGGGGCCGACCGACACGAAGATGGGCACATGATATATGTGACTCCTTGAGTATGAAAGTACATGAGGTAGGAGAACTGGCGAGAGACCGAGTTTCTTTCAGGCAGACTGTGATGAGAGAGATGAAAGGATCTGCTACATGATGATGATGAAAACCACAAACTGCCAACAAATGCTGGGGTTGGTTTGCCACATCCTGTAATTTTTGTATGAAAAGTAGGCAACAACTGCTTAAAATTATTTCAGTAAGAAATACAGTCTTTAAACAGAATAGAAAGAAGGAAATATACCTGTTCATAAATGCATTCCAGGTTCTGGCCTCTGCTCTCCCAAAATTTAATTTCCACAAATGGAGAGGGATTCAGACCATCAAGCAATGGTTGCACAGAGTCTTTCTTTAGAACATCACGAATCTGATGAGTCCATTCAATTATTACAGATTCAATGGCATGTACTAGACTGCGGTCATACGTCTCCCTTGTTTGAAGAAATAGAAGGAATGTTTTTTGGCTGTGCTAGTTTAAAATCATATGAATAAATTGTAAATATCAATAATAATTTTACAAACTGTTAACATCATTATATTATTTAAAAATTTACATTTGAAACATAAGAATATTACAGTAGGATAAAAGTTAAAAAAAAAAGTAAAGCATCTGTTTTATGCCAGTGGGATATTGGGCATACACTGATATTTTATAGAGCAGCTGGCACTCAGAGGGTAATGAGGTCAACGTCATGTCGGCTGCTTTTATTTTCCAGAACATTAACTAGTATCCATTTTAGACTGGATCGACCTGGGAGCCGAGGTAAATTTTGACAAAAAATGCACATTCAAACCCAAGACCTTCGGGCCACCAGACAAACGTTTAAGCCACTGAGTTGCCATCGCTTTTACAATAGGATAATGGGTGTAAATAAATGGTAAATGCTGAGCATTAACACTTGACACTATGAGATGTACATGGAGAAAGTACATTGTGGAAGTTTTTCAAATTCATTAAAATCAATTAACAAGAAATGTTGATTGGAAATTTAATAAATTGTAACCCCCTCTCCCCCCCCCCCCCCCCCAAAAAAAAAGCCCCAAAAAAGTCTGGTACTTTTGCAGCAGTCATGGATTGGGCAGATAGTGACAGACTCATATTTTATAGACCAATCACCATGTGAAGTTTGAAGAGGAATATTTTCTATAAAAATTGCCACAAGCAAAAGACAAAAGCACTGCAATTCTGAAATATCAGTAAAGTATGATAACATAAAATATGACTTACTTTTCACCATCTCCAACTTGTTCAATTCTATCTGCTCCTACTGGAAGGGGTAATAATGTTTTTCCCTTGGCCTGTCCAGAGACAACATACACAGTGCTCTTTAGATTATGAACATGTCGTGTAACATCCTTGGACACAACCTTTGGCCACTTGTCATGATTTCGCTCATTGGACAGTAATGGAACAAGAACCTGAAAAAAAAAATTTAAAACAGTATTTATCAAGATCAGTTTCATAACAAATTCAAAAATTATGATTCGTTTTTAGGTTAGTTAATCACTCGGAGACTCCATGTTTTCATAGAGTGCTGAACAAAATTACAAAGACAAAAATGGCAGAAAATTGGACCTTTAGCCCTATATACACAAAATATTAATGGTGCAGTTATATACATACTGTAGCTACAATGATTTCGATGCAGCTTAGTCATAGAATGAGTATGGTACTGTCTGAAATAGTCCTTTTGATACAAATGTAAAAGATATGGGTCTTCCTGGATTTACCTCATTAGAATGAACAGCTGACGCTGCTGTAAATTTACCTTCTAAATCACTTTCCAAAAAATTTCAATGTTTCATTATTAGAAAACATCTGACTGAAATAATTTCTCAGTAACCTTCCCTGAATACTTTAATAGTAGTTATGAACATTATAAAAAAATACGGAGCCATCTGTGAATCATAATATACGGGACACACAATCGACGCAGACAGTGTTGTTTGGGCAAATCGGAACTTCTCAATCAACACACACAGAGTTGTTTGGGCCTCCAAGAGTTATTCGGTCCATTGCTAGTCTTGACTACAGGTTACTTCGTAGCCATTGGAGGCCCAATATAACCCTATGGTTGAACAGTGTTTATACAGGTAGGATTCTCATCCTTGAGGTGTTTATCCTGCGACCGCAATCCTGGAAAGGGACAAGCTGCAATGCAGTTAAGTGAATTATGCTCACTGAATCACTCAGTATAATGGCTTGAGTGTATTTCACTTCTGTGGTTCATCCACAGTTGGATGTAATATTATAAATGAAGTTTGTAACATGGCTGCAGTTTTTCAGCTTGAAGAGAAACAACAGCTAAAAGTGTTAGGAAACAATTACATTTTGCCTACTTGAGCTATTTCACTTTTTCAAATGTTTGACAACACAAAGGCTACAAAACATTAACCATTTTCTCTATGCAATATTAAAACCCTTTCATTTTTGTTCAAAACAATGCAGTTTATGTAGTAACCAAAATATTTATAATGAAGTAATCTGAATAAGGATCTGGTTGCAACAAAAAAGATACTTAAAAATAACAATGAAACGCAAGCTATATTTTATAAAAGTATAATTCACCTCCCATTAACCGAGGACTTCTTAGCAAAATAGAAATTGGCAAGAAGACAAAAATGGTTGTTTACCGATCTATCTATGTACCAGTGCTATGGGTGTGAGTCATGGACAATGACAACAGCTCATAGAAGCCAACTGCAGGCCTCGAAAATGAGATATCTGAGAAAGGTGGTCCAAGTGACAAGAAGGGACAAAGTCTGCAAACAGATAATACATCAAGATCTTGATACCTAGTCCCTACAAACCCGAGTGGATCAGTCAATGTTACGATGGTTTGGACATGTATGCAGAATGGGAGAAAATCGGCCACCATGGCAGGAATGGGAGGCTAAGAACCAGAGAACCAGAGCTCCAGGACGACCCAGGGTGCGCTGGGAAGACAACATCTGACAGTCCCTAACTGACAGAGGACTTGAATGGAACAAAGCCAGAAAGAAAACTGCTGATAGAGACGTCAGGCGATCTCTCTGGCAAATCTCTACACCCTAAGGTAGAAGAGGAGCGACTAAGTTACTAAGTAAGAAAGTATGGGCTCTTCTCCGAACTTCTAATCCCACATTATGGCGGCAACAAATATCTGTGCAGGGCTCAGTTCTATTAAAAATATGCCCGCTCCGTATAACGAAACAAATGCTCTAACAGAGTCTCAGTGATATGTTACTTGCGGACCTGTTTATGTGACTATGCCTCACCGCCGACAGGTATCCCCTGCGCCGCTACGCGCGGCGTGGATGGGGGCTAAACTAGATGGCTGGGACTCACGAGCAGCAGCTACCACATCTCCTGCAACTCCCTTTAATTAATTTGCTCATGAGTCCCAGGCACCTAGTTTAGCCCCCCATCCGTGCCGCGCGTAGCGGCGCCGTGGATACTGTCGGCGGTAAGTGTAACCGCGTTTTGCGCATGCCGACAAGTTTGAGGACAACAACGACGCTAATCTGCGTCGGCGCACGTGGACTCCCCCGCAATGTGGTTTTTATCGTCAGTAATGTTGCGTGTCTCGAAATTGGCAATGGTTGCTAGTATCGTCTGCAGAAACGCTCGAAAGTGTCTGCTATGTTGCGTCTCTTGAAAGTGTCAGGTAATCCTAGTTTTGCCGCGATTCGTTCGTCGCCGGAAGTTCGCATGATTTTAATAGAACTGAGTCCCGTACGGATATTTGTTGCCGCCATAATGCGGGGGTAGAGGTTCGGAGGAGAGCCAAAATAGGCTCTACTGGCAAATTTGGCCGGTAAGGTGGAATGCTTCGGCCGGCTTAAGCGGGCATTAGTGGGAGTTATGTCCCTTGGCCAAACTCAAAACAACTCAAAACAAGTCGCGGAAAAAGTCACGAAACAAATGACAAACTTACCTATCATCATCCGGGTGCGTGTAGGGTTGCGTAGGGTGTCTATCATCGTCCTACGGTTGCGTGTAGGGCTGCTTATTGCGTGTAGGGTTGGTTGTTTGCGTAAGATGGAAGAGGGATAGGGTTAGGGGTTAGGGGTTAGGGTTTAGGGTTAGGGTTTAGGGGTTAGGGTTTTAGGGGTTAGGGTTAGGATTTAGGGTTTAGGGGTTAGGGTTTAGGGTTTTAGGGGTTAGGGTTAGGGTTTAGGGTTAGGGTTAGGGTTTAGGGTTTTAGGGGTTAGGGTTTTAGGGGTTAGGGTTTAGGGTTTTAGGGGTTAGTGTTAGGGTTTAGGGTTTTAGGGGTTAGGGTTTAGGGTTTAGGGGTATGGTTCGATTTGAAAATTTTCACGTAGGAGGTCGAAATAGTGGCCGACAATTTGACGTTTGTGGGAGTGGCGCCACTGAAACTCTGTCAAATATGACGACGCCAATAGCGGGCGGCTGGTGCCCAGTGCTGGCGAATTGATCGTTTCACCAACATCCACAGGCCCTCGATTGTTTGTGTGTGTATGTGACTGTGCGCGACGTCGATGACGTTGGTCTGGTGGACTACTACCTCGTGCAGATAGATGGCATGCCTTACGTTTGCGACGTTGCTGTAGCTTCGCCCTAAGCCTAACCCCTAACCCTATACCCTAACCCTAAACCCTTACCCTAACCCTAACCCTACACCCTATCCCAAACCCTAAACCCTAAACCCTAACCCTACACCCTAACCCTAACGCTACACCCTAACCCTAACGTTAAACCCTAACCCTAAACCCTAACCCTACCCCTCATCGTACGCAAACAACCAACCTACACACAATAAGCAGCCCTACACGCAACCGTAGGACGATGATAGACACCCTACGCAGCACTACACGCACCCGGATGATGATAGGTAAGTATGTCATTTGATTCGTGACTTTTTCCGCTCGTTGTTTTGAGTGCGGCCACGGGGACACAACTCCCACTAAGTCCCGCTAAGCCGGCCGAAGCAGTCGACGCATTCCAGCTTACCGGCCAAATTTGCCAGTAGAGCCCCAAAATATGTCAGTATAACTTACCTCATCAACAAAGGCACACAACTGATCCAGTGGAGATGCTGCCATATCTCCATACAGCAGTACATTTCTCATCACTGCATCCTTTTGGATTGGATCTCTTGAGCGTTTCACAAAGTAGCAAGCTTTAGCTTTTGGGTTTGATGGCCACTCATACTGTACTTGAAGTGAGCCAGCTGCCGTGGCGATAATGATTAAAGTTGTCAAATCTGGCTTTTCAAAGAAATCCATAAACAGCTGTTTGTTTTCGTCCACACTGTACATTTTAGTCCATCTGTCTGGTTTTTGTTTCAGTGTTTTAAGTACATAGTCTGCAATAAATATGACTCGATGGTCGTCAAGTTCCAGTTCGCTAGCCGTACTAGCCATGTTGGGTTCACGTTCCGGAGTGTTTGTTTTCTCAGTTTTAAAACCTGTTTACCATCAGGTATTTCTCGTTAAAGAATCGACATTTGTAGTGTTACATAATCAACAATATGTACGTCTAGTTAGTTCTTGGTGAAATATATTTCCCATTTTTCCTGAAATCTCCAGCTACACACAGTTGCCAATCGATGGAAGAGGAACAGGTGCCCGCCTTGTCTGTGTCAGACATTGGCGTTGCTAGCAACGGTTGTTATGGAGCTTGGGCCTCGTTTTCGGCGTCTAATAAACAACGACCTGTGCGTTACCGAAGCCCCCTGGGTTTGTTTTTAGTTTTTGTTTTTAGTATCCAGAAGCCATGAGTTAAAAACCCTTAGGCTCGGTATTATGGATATCGCAACCTTTCGGCCTTGATTCCATTGTAAATACCGTAAATCTGGGAGAAAATGTGGCTTTCCCTGCCTACCCCCGGTATTGAACCCGGACCACAAGGAGTTCGTCACCCAGTCTCCGCGCAATCCGGTTTAGCCAACTACGCCAGCGAGCCGGGCAAGCCCACTGGGAAGCAAAGAACAGTATACCACTGCACCCTGCCAGACATGACCTAAGAGCTAACTAAGGCTGGGGTTGAACTTGGGGTTAGCTATACCATTATGTAAAACACTGTAGCCACAAAAACTAACTAGCCACACACACACACAAAGTGCAAAACAATAACAATATCCAACCTACCAAGAAGTTAGCCTAAAGGTAAAGATGAGATGATCGACTTCCTTGCATCGTGTTTTATCCCATATGGCTAAGTCTCCGCAGAGCAGCCAACTGCCTGCCGAAAACGTCGCACAGAGCATGACCTCCGTAGCTTCGGCAATGATTCCCAGGGATCTCCGTAAAAACTGCATCCGTGAACTGAAGGCGCCGATGTGAATAAAACCCACGACCTTCAGAGCGCGATACAAACGGCTTGACCATTTCGCCACAGAGCAAGAAGTGGGAGGGGGGAAGGGGCGGGGTGGGTTATCTCTTCAATTATTTGGGGGAGAACAGAGTTTTTTTTTTTTTTTTTAGAAAAAAAAAAAAAAAGGAGCCCATACTCATCATAAAGTGTCTAAAATAAGTGCTGATACTCACCATAAAGTGTCTTACAATGGCACTGGAAAAAAAATGTACATACAAAAGTGCCGTGCTATGTATCACTGCGTAATGCCAGGAAAAAAAAAGATTCTTTGTTTGTTATTCACCCCAGACGCGGGGAATCTCGAAGTGCCCAGGAAAGTCCAATATCATAGCGGCATTATGGTTAGGTTTAGGGTTAGTCGGTGTTCGTCTGAAACCGTAACACCCCTATAACATTAGACTTTCCAGGGAACTCAAGGAGCTCCCATGTTTGAGGTGAATGAAAAATTAAAGGGAGAGAGAGAGAGAGAGAGGGGGGGGAGAGAGAGAGAGAGAGAGAGAGAGAGAGAGAGAGAGAGCGAGAACACTCAACAAATGTAAGAGTATAGGGAGGTGATAAGAAAAACGCTTGCTTAGCATATGACACACACTGATGGTCAAACGAATAAAGGCAGTTCAAATAACACGCTGAGTAGGGAACAGGAGAGTAAAGTTAAAAAAGATGGCGGGGGCGGGGAGAGAGAAAGGGATCTGTGGTGAGATGCATGTGTGGTAAGGGATATGACAACGAACTTGGTTGAAGACCTATGTTTCACTGGATGACAAAGGAAAGAAATAGAAACAGTTTGTTAAGCCAGTGTACTTTCTTTTTGTAGAACTGGTTGAGAGTTGGAGGAAGAGGGGTTTGACTTACTTCATCACATTTCGTGATTTCAAACTCTGGGCTATGTAAACGGAGCGAAAACCATTTGTTCTTTTTGCGTGCTATTGTGTATAAAAATTTTCCACACGCCACGATGAAAAAACTATCAAAGATCTTCCCTCGCTGTCTTGCTCCATCTTTCTTTCCACATATAATTTCGTTTATGTTCCAGTTTTCTTGTGCTATTTAAACTAATTGTTCACTACCTTTCTGATAATGTGCCGTAACAACTTTCAATGATGATTACATATTTTTGGTGTTTGTGGTATTTTCAGCATTCGTATGTATGTATGTATGTATGTATGTGTGTGTGTATGTGTGTGTGTATGTGTGTGTGTGTGTGTGTGTGTGCGTGCGTGCGTGCGTGCGTGCGTGCGTGCGTGCGTGCGTGCGTGCGTGCGTGCGTGCGTGCGTGCGTGCGTGCGTGCGTGCGTGCGTGCGTGCGTGCGTGTGTGTGTGTGTGTGTGTGTGTGTGTGTGTGTGTGTGTGTGTGTGTGTGTATTTGTCTGTGCGCGTGCGTATAATTATGACTAGCTATCCTCCGAATAACGGTCTCAAATTATCGAGGCCGAAAATATACTCTACAGGGCTTCAGTCACATGTAAATTGCGGACCTCTTCCGGCAACTACACAGTATACCGCAGAGAGTAACTCCCGCGCCGCTACGCGGGGCGCGGGGCTAAACTAGATGGCTGGGACTCACGAGCAAATAAAATGGAGGAAGCTGCATGAGATGCGATAGCTGCTGCTTGTGAGTCCCAGCCATCTAGTTTATCCCCGCGTAGCGGCGCGGGAGATACACTCGGCAGTGACTTTAACTCGGCAGAAGCTTTTTCGCGGTATGCTGGGTAGTCGTCGGAAGAGGTCTGCAATTTACATGAGACTAAGGCCCTGTTAGTTTATTTTTTCGCCCTCCATAATTTGGAACCGTTATTCAGAGGATGAACCAATACACAAATAAGGCAAGAATCCAGGCAAGAGTATGTGTCTAATTTTATACGAAAACGCCGCTGGAACTATGTCGGCCACGTCCTTAGAATGAATAAATCAAGACTTCCTTACCAAGCCCTCATTTGGACACCACAGGGGAAAAGATCTCGTGGAAGACCAAGGGAAACCCTACGTAGAACTATCATCAGGGAAGGCTCGCTTATGGGCCACTCAAACATCCAAGACCTACAACGGATTGCAACGGACCGCCGTGCATGGAGAGTCACGACCTCTGCCCTATGTGCCGCACTCGACACAAGAGGAAAGACTAACTAACTAACTAAATTCAGAGGATAGCCTTATGACTTCCTTATCACGTTCCCATGTACCGGGGAATCTCTCCCCCCCCCTCCCCCCACCCTTTCTGACTAAAAAGTTCAGTCGGACCGCCAAAGCAGCGCAACCTGGTGTAAAGGCTACCACAGTTTATTAAAACCTGAACTTTACCTCCCGGATCCAATTAATTTTAGGCTCCGTGATGCTTGATAGTGAACACTTTGCCTCCATTCTTAAATTATTTAAAAAAAAAAAACCATGCCACCAGGTGTACCGGAGTCTGAGAGCTTACGCATGATGAGCGCCTAGCTGTCTGCCTGTTACCACAGAGCAGTGATGAACATTTTTTTTTATAATTTTTTAATAAGGAAAGAAGCAATTTTAATGAATAATTTACGATAATAATAATCAATAATGATAGCCAGATAATAATAATAATAATATTCATGGTTTTTTTTCTGGCGGTACGCAAATGTATGCTCTACCGAAACCATTTAGGCATATTTTTCAGGACTTTTGTAATAGACACTATGGTGAATACCGGAGCTTTTTTGGGGACATGTTGTGAGTACAGCAATAAGGCTAAAAAAAGCTATGATGATGGTGATGGTAATAATAATGGCACTTAAACAAGCCATTTAACCCCCCCCCCCCCCCGCTCCCTATACAATTATTGAAAAAATGAAGGGGCGGGGGAGCTGTGTTCATAAGGGGATATGGCCAGCATCACGCCCGTAGCCTTTACTTCACAGGGCTGTACCTGGTACCCATTTAAAGCTGTTTTTAAAAGGAGTAGAAAATTATAGGTAAGAAAAAAAGTTGATAAGAAACAACAAACAGTTTATGTTATGTTCTTTACAAAATCGACCACAATAAACGAACAAAGGACGTTGCGGCGATTAGCCTTCATCAGCACATAAAGAACAATACAGTACACCTACACAAATATGCTCTAACTATGAAGTGACTACATGGCACTAATGTACACAATAAATGATACTCATCTGTGTGCTGATAAGTGACCGTGGTTACCCCACCCATGGCCTTCTCTATTTATATACAGCTGGGTCGATCTGGGAGCCAAGGTCATTTTTGAAAAAGCCCGGCCCCCGTCAAGACCCAAACCCACGACTTTCTGATCCACAGGGGGGCGTCTAACCGCTACATGTCGGCCGCTCCTAGTCTTAAAATAGAAAGTCATATTAATGACTAGCTGGTCCCAAAGAACTCTTTCTGTAGAATCACATTTTTTTTGGATTTTGTTTTCGTCGCCTATGATTAAATCTTATGTTATAATGAGCTCAATGTAACTTGTAACAGTTCTTTCCCAAAGCGTGTTACACTTTTTACACATTACAGCGATCGACAATTTATTGATTTTGTATTGACACAGAAACAGAACAAATATGGGGCGACCCATTCCGGTGAGGTGTGAGCTGCGACAATTTGTGAGGTCTCTCCGATTTCCTTCTCTCTCTCTCTCTCCCTCTCTGAGACCCTGTCAGAGGGAGGAAGGGGTGAGATTCACATGAAAAGCAAAGGGATGACATTATGTGCAAGAAAGTTTGGCTAAATCCCATCACATCTAGGTTCAGAAAATACGCGGAAGTGGTCGCTGCAGCTGTTCCACTAGATGGAGAATAGAATGCACAATACGACGATAACAGATACGCAAAACTTGTTGATATGGGTAAAGTCAAGCAGGTTGCGAGCAGAGTGGCATTCTTTGATTTAAATGTCTAGAATAGTGTGCGTCCTTTGGATCCCTATTCCCCCTTTTTTCCTTTGAAACCCACCCACCCCTCTTTCTCCTTTCCCCTCAAGATATACAGATATGTTGAGAATGTTGTTTGTTGAATGTTGAATTAGGAATCGGCATCACAGCACTCGGGACACTCCAATAAGCGCTCCGTCCCCATCTTCAGCAGCAAGTGAAGAGTTACCATTACGATGGTACCAGTAATTGTCTGATTGTATATCCTTGAGTGTTGATCGTTGGCTAGATCCCTTGGTTACTCTCTGCAGGGCCATTCTCCCCAGACCGTTATGATCTATTTGTGCCTCTGCACTGTTCACTCGCTTCCAAAAGGTGTTCACAAAATCTAGCTTTTCATACATGTATGTTGAGAAGTGAACAAGCAGGCAGATTAGCTGCTTCTGCAAAACTGGCTGAGAATTAATTCCCGACACAGCTTCTTCTTCTTCTTCTTCTTCTTCTTCTCTTCCACCTTGTACCTCATCGAAGTGTCGGGGGGAGATGTAATGTTCGTTGATGAGCTCTGTCAAGAGCACTATTAAGACTGATGTTCATTTCTGTAAGGCTGTTCTTAATGCCATCACTCCATCTTTTCCGAGGTCTTCCACTCGCTTTATACCCATTGTAACGTTTTAGTGTGGCTCGCTGTGGCAGATAGTACAAGGGCATTCTTGTTAGGTGTCCAAACCATTTCATTTGTTGTTCTTTGATGATCTGTAAGACTGGCTTTATTCCTAGCATTCGTCTGATTTCATGATTTTGTATTCTGTCTTTCCTTGAAACTCCTGCAGCTCTTCTAAGGCATTTCATCTCTGTTGTCACAATTTTACGTTCATTGGAGGATGTAAGTGTCCACGTTTGGCACTGATAGCATAGTATTGGCCAAAAAATAGTTCTGATAAGATTCACTTTAGTACTCCAAGGTATCTGCTTGTGTGTCAACAGGGGAGATAGTTGACCCATTACTTGATTAGCTTTGGCACATCTGGAACTAATTTCTCTGTCCAGTTTTCCGTCTGAAGTAAAAATTGCTCCCAAATACTTAAATTCCTCTGTTTGTCTCAGGGTGTTGTTTTTTAATTTAATTTCTAAATTGTCTTTATGTCTTCCTATCATCATTGTCTCTGTCTTCGTAGTGATTATTTTCATATTATATTCGAAAAGTAATTCTGTTATATCTTCTCCCTGATTAAAGTCTGTTTCGCTACATATGGCGTCCATGTATGTTATGAAAAGAAGCGGCGATAGTACACAGCCCTGACGCACACCAGAGTTCACTATAAAAGTTCTAGACAACCCTGCCTTTGATCTTATGCAGCATTCACTACACGTGTACAGGCTTTTGCAAATATTAATGAGATGATTGCTGATTCCTTTTTTCCCCATACATTCCCACAACATATTCCTGTCGACTCTATCGAAGGCTTTTTCTTGGTCTAATGAATGTCAACAAACATGTCTTATCATGTTCTATTGCCCTCTCTGATAGTTGTCTCAATGTATAAATGGCATCTGTGCAACTTCTGTTTCGTCGAAAGCCCATCTGTGCTTCTGAAAGTTGATACTCTATCAATGGTCTCAGCCTTTTTTCGATGATCTTAGCATACATTTTCCCAGTGTGACTGAGAAGTGATATTTCCTCTGTAATTAGTACATTCCCTCTTACTTCCTTTATTTTTCCACAGCGGGACAATGACAGCAGTTTGCCAATCTGATGGTGTTTCTTGATTTTCCCATGCCACCTGAAAATAGGCTCCCGTTTCTCCTGCTGCCTTGATGGCCTCAGCTGGTAGATCATCAATACCTGTCGCCTTTAGTCTAGGCGCGGTTCGAATGACATATTTTACCTCATCCAATAATATACCTGGTTCTAGTTCCTCTGCTGTTAGTTCCGAGTTGTTTATATGTTCTTCCCTGCTTTTATCTGTTTTATTGCAGCTAAGTAATGCTTCAAAGTAATTACACAGCAGATGCGGTAAATGCTCTATTTGGAAGCCTGAGAACAATGCAATAGCGCGAACAAATCACCCCAGTCTGGAAAGATTACAAGTAATCCAAGTTATGAGAGAGAGAGAGAGAGAGAGAGAGAGAGAGAGAGAGAGAGAGAGAGGTAGAGAATAACAAATTATGTTTTAATATAAGTCAAAGCAAGAGTTGATACAAGATAGGTAAGGTAATCAGGTAATCGCAGCTGAAACTTCATAGCAAACATCTTGGTCGTGATCATATAGTGGTTAGTACGAGGTGAACAGATAGATAAATATAGATGTACAGATAGATTGATATAAAACTAGTTAATTTAAATTATGTGACAAGCAAGAGAGCAAAAGAGCAAAAAAAAAAAAAAAAAAAAAAAAAAAAAAGAGAGAGAGAGAGAGAGAGAGAGAGAGAGGAAGAAAAAATATTGAAAATAACACAGAAAGTAATAACAAAAAAACAAAAAAAAAAAAAAAACAGATGTACACATTTATTCATGATTAATCAACATACTGCACTCAGCCTAGGCCAGTATATGTGCATTGAGTTTAAAGTGTTGTTCTGTAAAACATCTCTGAGGTCTCAGTGATTTTAATTTTGACTATTTATTAACTGTGCATGATTTACAGCCATGTGGTAAGACTGGTTCTTTGTAACATGATATAACTCTTTTTATAATCCCCAATGACTGGATTGTTGCATAAGATATTTTTTTGGATAAATAAGTAGTTTTTATTTATATGTTAACAAGCTTCACAAAAATAAGTTGTGCAAGAATGATCAATTTGCAAAATAGTTACTTCACGCATGCACAAACACACACACGGCCACACACTCACAAAGCCTAAAGTTATTACTGTCATAGATTAAATTAGATCAGTCCTTCCAATTTCTGCTAACAAACTGATAAATATAGACATAGACTTGCAGCATGGGTGAATTTTTTATGCATACAATTATATCTGTCTATATGTTTATCTTCTTGAAGTGTTTTGATGCTATGTTACTAGCTGATAGTGTGTGTTATTCTCTAGTCTTGTGTATGTGATGTGCAACAGAGAGAGAACTGAGAGAGAGAGAGAGAGAGAGAGAGAGAGAGAGAGAGAGAGAGAGAAAGAGATAGAGATAGAGAGAGAGAAGACTTACAATTCTTTATGTATGTTATTTAGTAGTTGAAATAAAAACAGTGGTAACAGTAAAACAACCTGTATTGCAACATAAATGAGCTACATCATCTACCAGAAGACTATACATGATGGGCACACATTTATAAAATTAAAAGTTATTTTTCTAATAAGAAACAAATATATACATTTTGAACTTTTAATAAATTAAATTTGTCTGGCCAACACATATGTTAATGAATGCAATACCACACATTATTTAAACTTTTAATAGATTCAATTTGTCTGGCCTATTTCTTAGTAGCAGTTGCAGATTTGCTGACTTTAATCCATCAACAAAAATCTTTTAGTGTGAGACAGCCTAGCATACAACAACACAACATCTACCATGAGAATGGAGGTGGAGGCAGCTCTCTGGTGGCTAGAGAACAAGATGCATCCACATGTCGTAATTGTAACAGCCTCTGAAAGCATGCTAAGAAAGTTGGAGACAGGGATGCTTTGAGCAGAGTGGCAAGCTTCACTAGGAAGGTCTGCACTACTGGGTGGTGAACTGATACATGACAAGGCAGATGTGGTCAAGGCCCTTCCAGAACAAGCAATGGAATCAGTAGAGAAACAAGATTATTATGGCCTGGAGAGAATGAGGCACCTGGGTGTAACCAGAGGGCCTGGCCAGCTCACTATACTTAGAGGAAAGGCAAGATAGACACATAACCAGATTGTGACTGGTAACATCAGTACTGGAACTCTGCGCTGGCTGCTGAAGATGAGGACGCACACATAGGAATGCCCTGAGTGCTGTGATGTCAATTCTTGACTCAACTCAACTCAACACAATCCATCAACAGGTCTTGTATTTTGTAAACTACAAATACAAATTCTACACTGCATTATCAGGGAATGCCAATGAGTACAGCTTTGCACCAACAGACTCCAGTCTCTTTCTGTATTCCACATCCTGGAAAGAAAGTAACAATCTAGTAGAAATGACATCACAAAGATTTTCTTGGCCACAACAAATCTAAAAACAAGAGGATGCTCAGTACTAATTATGTAGGTGCCAGCACAAGTAGGAATTGAAGGAAATTACAGGGCAGAGAGGAAAAAGGCAGAACAAACAATAATAAATTACATGCAGCTATGAGCAAGAATGATTTTAAATTTATATTTAAAAAAAAAAAAAAGTAACAGAAAAATTGACAGGGATGTGTAATGGGAGCAGGAAAGACATGGCTACAACTTAAGGCTCCAGCTAAAAAATATCACATCTCAAGTGAACTAAGATACCTAGCAATAAGAAATTAATTACTGAGACTGCAGCTTGGAGTGGCTTACTTCACTATAAAAAAGACACCTTGAATGTCAGGTACATAATGATACTGAACATTTTTTACTCTACTGCAGGAAATCTGAACTCCAAAAGACTCCCTTCAATAAATATATGATCTGCTGCAATAAGCAGATGACAACTGAAAACAAGCTGGGAGTAGATGGTTCTAGAGAGCCACAAGGAAGAATTAAACAGTACATCACAAGAACAGGGATTCACATTTGAGATATTAATACATCTCGAGACTGAATGATTTCCAAGATCACTTTAAATATCCACAAAGACAGATTACGCAATATAATTACTAAAATTGTTTGAAAGTACATTAAAAATATACTGAATGTGACAATCTTATACAAGTAGTACATAATCTATGCAATATTTCATAACCAAACATAACTGATAGACATAAATATACATTATTGAAATTGATAAAAATACTCTATATATCCCAGTTATAACCCGGATAGGTTTAACAGAAAACTGCTGTTTAAACAATAACTACAACAAATAAAACAACAACAACAACAACATTAACTACAACAACAACTCTAACTACAACAACAACAACTTCAACTACTACAAGTACAATTACAACTACAATGACTACTACTACTACAACAACTACTACTACTACTACAAAAACTACTACTACTGCACAACTACTACTACAACAACTACTACTACTACTACAACTACTCCTACTACTACAACAACAACTACAACAACAACAACAACACCTACTACAACTACTACTACTACAACTACCACAACAACATCAACAACAACTACTGCTGCTACTACTGCTACTACAACTACTGCTGCTGCTACTACTACAACTACTGCTGCTGCTGCTATTGCTGCTGCCACGGTCGCTGCTGCTGCTGCTACCGCTACTACTACTACTTCTTCTACTACTACTACTACCAGAAAGTAACAAGTAGATTTAAGTTTTTCACATACTACTCAGACACATATGGAACAGTGTAGTAGGCCAGTATTTAAGCTAATAAAAAGGCATGTGTCTTTACTTTATAGCAGATCCCAACAAATATGATCAATCTTGTACTGATCCTTCGTTTAAAAAAAAGAAAAATTGGGTATAAATCTTAGCAGTAAAGGACCCTTTTCCATGCTCTTAGATGTAATGTGTATATGCTAGACTTATATATTCTATAGACTATTTGGCACTCAGTGGGTGATGAAGTTAACATCCCACCGGTTGCCTTTACTTCCCAGGACTTCACCTGGTACCTATTTTAGTCTGGGAGGTAAGGTCACTTCTCACAAACAATAAAACCTGAAGCGAATTTGAACCCATGACTTTCAGAGCCAAGCCAAGCTTCTAGCCACTACACTACAGTAGCTCCCAATAATTCTTGTTCTGGCATTTTTGTAAATATAAGGCCCATCTAAGAAAAAAAAAAGGATAAATCTTTACTTCTTCTTCTGCCTTTCTAACCCCTAATGGAGCATAGATCCTCAACCAACTCATGCCAAGTTATTCTATCCTTTGCTATCGCATGAAGCTGTGTACTAGCTGCCTTTATTCATAGAGTGTATATATATTTCAATATTTCAAAAATAGTTCAGTTAATTCTTTTAAAGGAAAAAAACAACAACCTTGTGTTTGATTTCCATTGTTTAAATTACTATTACTGCCACTCAACTAATGGTTGATCACATGGAGAGGTTTAATCTCTTCCTGTTTGACACTCATACCAAAGGGAAACAAAATTACAAAAACAGTCCACTTTCTAAACTACCCACTGAAGAAAGCAAACAAAAATACACCGAGAACTGTGAAACACTGCTATTAACCACTAAGCCACATGCCACAGAAATAAGTAGAACTACCCCAAACACTGCCAGTTACCATATACATGGTACTGTAGGGGCAGGTGGGTGACTGGGTTGGTAACGCGAACCACTTTCGCCCAAGTGGACTGCCGCATTGTTTATTGTGAACTGCATTAAAGATTGTTGCGTATGCTCTCACTGTGTTGGTCAATTGTGTTTAGGAAAAGACCTTTTTTTCTGTCATGGATCTGCCAATGAGCTTTCCTGTCCTGACGGCAGTGAAGTAGGTCTCTGACAATATCTTTTTACCACTTTTGTGAGGAGCGGCTGGCCGAGTGATTACAATGTTGGGTTCTCATGCGGTAGACCTGGCTTCGACTCCCAGTAAAGTGATAGAGTTTTTCTGTCAGGGCAAAATTAAACAACCTAACAAGTCCATGGTGAAAGGACCAGCCCTAAAACCTCAGGCTCACGACCCCCGTCTATTCCACCCTAAAAAGTGGTACATACACAGACGCACACACACGTATATATATATATATATATATATATATATATATATATACACACACACACACACACACACACACACACACACACACACACACACACACACACACACACACACACACACACACATATACATATTCACACACACATATACATATTCACACACACACATACATATTCACCACTTTTGCTGTGTAAGCAGGAAGCTATTTAAACTTGAGGATTTAGGACCATATGCCTAGTGCTGTTGCCATGGACTGTGCAGGTTAGGATTTTATTTTTGCCCCACACAGAAAAAAAATAGATCTATAAGCCTTAACCAAGGATTCAAAACCTGGGTCTCCCACATGTAGAGTTTAAGTTCACTTTCAACCATCAGCCAGATGCTCCTTGATAAAATGTATTACAAATTAAGAATATCATGTATTCAAATAGCTGGTTGCACGTGTTACAAATGAAATACCACTGTATTACAAATACAACTATTACACTGTATTATAAGCACAAGCTTATATTGTATTACAAATACTTCTGTCACTGACAATATGCATTTCTGGTATTGAAATACAAGGCACTTTGGTTACAAATACAAACATTGCCATATGTATTTACTGTGTACAAGCTATTTACTGTATTACTGTTCTGGGACTATACTGTATGACAAATCACCAGTTTTTATTACAAATATGAGACAGTGTATTACAAACACAAGCTTTACATTGTCTTACTTTTCACAGACAAATTTTACACTGCCTGCTGCTCCAAATAATTACCATTATAGTCCCATATCACATTATGATAAACTGCGGAGCAGATTGGGCATAGCAGACACGGTCATTAATGAAAACACAGTGAAGTTGAAACTGCATCTAAGACTAAGACAATTACTCTACATTTTTTGTAAGAATGTGTAAATATAACCTACCTTGTAGTTCAGTTCAGGAACCCCTTGTACACCATAGGCTGCACCAAACCAACATGCTGCTATGACACCTGTGCTGTCACTGTCTCCTCCATGGAACATAGATCTACAAATGTATACATTATGCCACTTTCAGTTAAAAACATAGATCTATAATGTAGACATTAACCCACTTTTTAGTCAAAAACATGGATCTACAATGTAGACATAAAGTCACTTTCAGTTTACAAAATACTCTAGAAAAAAAAATGTAAAGGGCTGACAAATCCAAGAATAACACTGTATTACAAATACAAGCAATGCACTGTTTTACAAATACATACTATGCACTGTATTACAAATACAACCATTACACTTTATTATAATCACAAGCATTATATTGTATTACAAATACAAACATTACATTGTATTACAAATACAAGCATTGTACCACATTACAAATACAAACATTATACTGTATGACAAATACAATCATTACATTATTACAAATACAAGGAATGCACTGTATTACAAACACATTGTCTTACTTTCTTACAAATACAAATTTTACACTGCCTGCTGCTCCAAATAATTACCATTATAGTCCATATCACATTTGATAGAAGCTGCAGAGAGCAGATTCTGGGCATAGCAGACACGGTCAGAACGATCATTAATGAAAACACAGATGAAGGTGATGCTGCAGTTTCCCCATCATATAAGTACAAGTATTACAATGCCTTATTCTGAGTTTCGTCGAGTCTTTGAGTCAATCCCAATATCTGAAAAACAGTGCTATCTCTGTGGATAAGTTTATTTGTACTAATTACAAATCCACAAGTTATACTTTATAAAATACCTGTTACACAGCTGATTCCAGTTGCTTCCAGCTTGCAGGAAAGCATCATATCTGAAAAGAGGGTAATATAATATGGTCTAACATTTATAGTTCTTGACATTGTAGCAGCTGTTGGCTGTTATTAAAGGGATCATTATCACAATATAGCATCTCTGACTTATGACTGAGTAAAGTTCTGGCCAATACAATATTATATAAATTTACATTATATTAGTACATTATTTATAAGTTGAACTGATCATATCTTTCTTTATTTACTATTTTGTTGTTGTTGTGTGCGGTCATTAATGCAGATGGTCAGGTCATTAATGCAGATGGTCGTAAGTTGAAGAAAAGGTCTTTAGCCAGTGCTAATGTCTGTAGCCAGATATGTTTTGAAGACCTGAAGGTTAAAAAGGTCAGCGAGCTATATATACCATCAAGGATTTTTATTTCATTACTGTTTGAAGTCTGCTGCCTGAGCAGGGATCTGAATCCAGGCCTCATAGCATAGTAGATCAAACATATAACTCTCAGCAATCTTTTTTCGGTATTTTTAAGATTATGTAAGGTTACTCTACTGCAAAATATTTCTTTTTTGTTTTCATGATGAATTTAGATAGAATATTTTTTTTTTTGCAAAGGAAATTTTTTCTGTATAAAACAAGTATTACCTGCTTTGTCATTTCCTTTTTGTCCACTAAAAAAATATCACATCAATTATTTACATAAAGGCTGACTATGTTAAACCAGAATGAATAGACTAACACAACATTCTGTGACAATCAATAAATGTTGACTTATTCATAACTTACGCAATCATTGGTGCATCATGACCACTGGATCCTCCCCAGCCAGAAAAGCTAACACTTTTAACAAACTCATCATGTTCTTTGAAACTATATGGACTTGGGAACACTGGAGTGCTAGTCCCATCTGTAAGACCTCGAGATCTGAGGTAATTTTCCCAAGAATTTTGAAAATAGGTCCTGTTAAATACAATAGTAGCGAATGAAACCAAACTGAAATTTATTCTTTAAAATCTATAGCCATAACCTAACATAACCCTTGACCTGTTAGAGCCATAAAGGTGTATCGATGGAAGCTCTAACACATAAAACACACCATCTTTCTTCTTGAACAAGTGTATGATAACTTAGTCTTGTCCATTTCATGATACTGTTATTCCAGATTCTTCTTTTCCATCCTCTTTTTCGACTACCCCCTAAAGTTCCTTGAAGTACAGTCTTTGCAATCGAATCATGTATCACCACGTGCCCAAAACAAGCGATGTTTCACCACTGCCAAGACAGGCTCCTGGTTTATTTTGTCTCTCACGTATTCATTAGTTTTGTTTTATAATAACCATATACAAGTGGGAAAAAAGGTATGTACAATCCAAGAAAGTTAAATATATGCACATGAATGCTCGGTGGAAAATGAATGCATGATTTATGTAACACATTAGTAACAGTGACACAGTATAACAGCAGTCAGTACTACCTGTTCTCTGTTAATACCGAATGTTGGGTGACATATATCAAACCTGACATCCAACTTGTGCCAACAGCTCTGAACAGAGGAGCCTATTAGAGATGATAACAGCCTTATCCAACAACCCCAAACCATAATGTTATGGCAGGGCTGATCAGCCAGACCTGGGTAACAGGTGGTCTCTACTATACTGTCCAGGCTTTGTGCTGTGGAGAGGAACGTCTCTGGTAAAGTCGGGAGATGTGAACCAACCTCATTGCCGACCGTTATAAAACATGAGTGCTCTACCACCAGTACAAACAGTTGATAAGTAACTGTCCATCTGTGTCCGCACGAAACTCCATACCCATTACCTAGAGGCTTGGTAAACTCCGGGAACCGCCCGGTTTCAAACACTGGCCATGAAAGCGAGTCTCCTATTGACTGCACTAATGCGGCCCCCACTTTAGACTGTGATTCCCATGTCTCTCTATAGCACAATGGGACATTATCGTTTACAGAAAGTTTGCAGGTGCCAACAACAACACTCACACAAACAAATTCTATAACTCATGATGACAGAGGATATAAAATTTGTAGACGGTGAAATAATGTAAAGAAAGGAAGCAATAAAATATATGAAGGCTTCATAGATAAAAGAAAACAATATAATAAAATCAAGCACATTCAAGGTAACTTCACACAGAAAATGTAAGAAATAATAATATGCACTACACGTCTGTAAAAATATGGGACGCTCTGCCCATATGCCCGATGCGCCGAAAGGCGTGAAAAGGGAACTTTACTTTACTTTTCTACACTTTTGTGGCATAATGCTGGTTAGCTATATGAAAAAATCCATTTATCACCTGACTATAACTAGCCTCAGGTGGATAATGATTCTTTTCATGATCCTTATTTGCTTTAAAGTGTGATTTAATGAAACCAAGCTTGCATTCCAAAGCAAATGGTTTTCATGGCTGCACCATAGGTTCATTTATTTAGAGTACTCTCAATGTTGTATATTAATTTGTGTATGTATTCTCTTGTTTTGCCTGTATTCTTTTATTAACTGATCATGAATTATTCTCCATAAAATTTCTAAACTTTACATGTTGTCTGTTGATCAAATTCAGCCATGTGACTATATGATTGATTTCACATTCTGTCTCTTCTGGAGATCACAGCAGCATTTCTTAAGCATGTAGACTTATTTCTGGTAAATCTTTATGGTAGGGACTGTCACAGATCTTGAATAGGTGTATGACTAGGAAAAATTTGTTAAGTGACATAAATGTTAATGACTGTTTGTGCAAAGTTTGCTTGAAGGCAGATAGTTTGCACATGGGTGTATCTTTGTGCATCAGCACTGAAGAAGAGGTTTAATTCAGATGAAAAGTTAGCAATTTTTAAGACAAGGACTGACAGCTGTTTATTTTGCTTATGTGTTTCCAATCAGTCTGAACCTATTAAAGTTAACGTTAGTGACTTGAAGTATATTTGTAGGTTTTTAATCTAAATCCTTTAGAGGGTCATTTTTTTTTTTAAATGTTCAAAAGGTAAGGGTAAAGATTTATTTCTGGACATGGGAAAACTAGGTCTTTGACAGAAATTATGTTTCACATTGATGGTAAAGAGCTGAGATTAAAAAAAAAAAAAAACACTTAGTAACTCTGCAAATCATTTCATCATTTCAATTTAACAAAACAAACTGAAACCCTAAAATCCATTCCCCTTTTATAAACTTACCAGTGGTCTCTGTTTTCTTGGACACAATGACCTGTAGATTCTACGTATTTCAGCACTTGTGGCAAAAGGTCTATCAAGCTACGTCCCCAGCTGATTGCTGGCTTTCCTTTAGATAAGTCATGAAAGGCATTACTTTTCTGCCAGATAATCATTAACATGCAACTAAGTGAAAACATTCAACAATGATAGGACACAACACCAATAACAATGTTTATAACTGGCACTGACCTCTGTTTCCTCTTATTTGATTAAAACATACAGAGTTTCTCACAGACTAATATTTTTCTTTTTAGTAAACATTACATAATATCATTGTGTCCTGTGCAATCCTTCCAATTTTATGGATGGAACCCAGACCAGGATCTTTGGCCTCTCTCGACAATGTTCATTTTAGGGTTTCTCTTTGACACCCTCATTTCCTTAGAAATTTGTTTCCCATTTCAGTGCCTTTATAGCGATTGTCTGTCTTCTTTTCCTCATGATGTGCCTAATATATTGTCATCTTCTTTAACTTTTAATTTTAATTATTTTGCTATTAAATATTTATAAATCAGCTTTTCACTCTTTGAGTCCCAGGTAACGCATCACATGCTAATTTGTTAAACCGCAATGCCCAATCGACGCGTGACACGTGAAGGTTTTTAATCTACCACTAAACAGTTGTAAAAAGTGGATGGCTTAATTTCAACTTCCTTTCGAGTTCTTTGTGTCTAATATCATGGGTGCTGATTTAGAAACGTGGGTGAAAGCCCAAAATATAGTATATTTGCGAGATTCGCAGAGTTACTAAGTGTTTGTTTGAAAATAGGTCCTGTTAAATACAATAATACTTTCTACGTGCATGCCAACATGATTTACAGCCTTAGAAGCATAAAATTTAAATAAAGTACGTGTTTTTTTAAATAGATTTTTCCGAAGTTAGATAGATAATATTGCGAATTAGACATGTTTCAGTCATTTATAGAGTCAAACTTTGATGAGGGATATGTCTAATGTGTACCTCACGCGAAGGGTACAACAATAACAAAGTTAGCTGGCACAAATAGAATAAACATTAGTGAAAAGACAATTTTTTTCAGTGTCAGTTAGTTCTAGTGCTATTCCTCTTATTATTTAGGAACATAGCTACAAAATTACAGGCAAATTGAGTGTTATATAAACTTCATTTTGCGTGAAGATACTTATTGTTTTGGGAGTCAGTTTTCGACTCTCCTCCAAACTTCTACCCGATATTATGGTGACCAAGCAAATAGCCTAACAGGGTCTCAGTCACGTGTAAAATGTAGACTTTTTGCCAAGGAACAAATCGTGACAAAACTAGGATTGGCTCCGAATAACGAAAAAATGCTCTAACAGGGTCTCAGCGATATGGTAATTGCGGACCTGTTTCTGCGACTATGCAGCACCACCGACAGTATCCCTTGCGCCACTGCGCACGGTGCAGATGGGGGCTAAACTAGATGGCTGGGACTCACAAGCAGCAGCTACCGCACCTCCTGCAACTTCCTCTAATTTATTTGTAGTAGTTCGGAGGAGAGCCCAGTTTTCTTTACCAAATAATAGTGCTCTGTTATGATGCTTCAAAAGATTCTCTGAAACAAAATCTAATGTATAGATAGAGTTTATATTTTACTTATACATTACTAAGTGTTTCATATTCATTTGTGATTCGTTTTGGATACATTTGAACTAGTTTCCTTGAGTGCCATGGTGGTAAGTGGAATGTTTTTATTTCATTTTACTAATTTTTGTAAACATAACGTCTGTTTATTTACTAATACTTAATTACTAATGCAATTATTTGTTTTAGCTTTATTCTTAAATTATTCCCCAACAATCTCTGGTCACTTTGATGTATAATATGTGTATGTTGCGCAGCAATTGAATTAGTATGGTCTGTTTTAATTTGTTACACTTGTGATATTAAAAAATTGCATTACCACCCCTTGGGCCTCTGATGCTAAACACCCTGGGACTCAAAGAATTAATTATTTATAAATCAATTTTTTTCTCTTTTATGGCTAAGCTAACATTGATGTTGATTCAACTGACCCTCATTCTGACCTACAGTTTACCTTGTATGCAATAAGCTGTGAAAAGGGCAGCTGCTAGGCTCCCTAAATAGCCAGTAGGATGGTGATGTGTCATTCTACCACATTCCACACTGACTTCAATCAAATCATCCAGCTGTTCTGGCCTGCGGAATAGTGGTGTAACATTAACACTAAATGTTTCCCAATTATTGAAACGTATGAATAATTTAACATGAAAGTCAATGCAATAGGTCAAGATCCCATTAGAATTCCCAAATAGATTGTAATGCCTTAAGTTGTAGCTTCTTTTACTTATACCTAAATCTGGCACTGCCAGGAACTATGACTTCTATTAATATTCTTTCTATAGCATTCCCCCCAACGCTGGTCCTGGGGCCCCATTCGGGGGGGGGGGGGGGGGGGGAATTAACCGACTGTCAAGGAATTAGAGGTTTTCTGAAACTGGATGTGTTGGGGCAAAAGGTGCAGATATCGCCACCCAGCTGTAATCCACATTACAATATGCCTACTACCTTTTTAATGGTGAAAAACTGTCTTTTCCTTATCTTTTGATTCACTAGGATTTTTTTGTTTGTTTAATGAGCTTCACATTACAGACTGAGTTATACTGTTTTAGTCAATTTATTTTATAGTCATCGATTAATGAATGTTTGTAGTTTATTGGTAATTGTTTTAGTTGTTATCTTTGTTTCAAATACAGTTAGCAGTAATAATTTGATCATGACTTCAGCATGTTAAGTTTAGTACTATATCTGTGGCTTATGTATTGTGAACACGCTTCCTAATGCCAGGGTCCTGGATTCGATCCCAGCTGTGGGCCTTGCTCCTTGTGCTGGTTTCAACAGTGGTATTGAGAAGCCGACTGTTGAGAAAGAAATAGCAAACTACCAGATGTAAATTTGCCTAGAAAAACCATATCAGCCAAAAAAATGCTGGGGTTGGCTATGCTCATCTTTGAATACACTGCTACCCAAACTGGTGTGTGATTCCACCTCTTTAAGTGATGTATCAACATGAGAAATCATTTGCTTTGTGTTTTCCCACTATCCTTATTTTTCCCAATGTATTTGTAAATCAAATTGTTGTGAGCTCTCATAAAATGTGTTTTAATTATCTTGCAACCAATTTCATGTGTGCTACAGGTAGGCAATGTCATCAATGAATTCCAGAGGGGCTGCATAGTCTCGAGGCATGGTGTCCACCTCAAGTGCTAGAGGTTCCGGGTTCAATCCCCGGTAAAAGCTGGGATTATTTTTTCAAGGGGACTTGGATTTCTAGTAATTCCCCCTGGTCTCTCAGTAGTGAGACTGGACGTCTGTGTGCATTGTTGCACATGTAAAAAAATCCCTTGGCAGTTGGAAATCAAAAAGAGTAGCCTAACGGCTCTGCCCGCATAAAATCTGGAGTTAAAAGTCTACCCAAAGTACTTCAGGATCCTTGCCAGAGCTACAGAACCTGTGCACTGTGCTGAGCTTCTTCAGACTCAGACTTGAGTTACAAGAAGAACGGAGCACTTAAACCCGTGTGCCATGATGTTGATCCATTGTTCAAAACCTCAAACTTCCCAATGTATCTGTAAATCAAATTGTTGTGACCTCCCATAAAATGTGTTTAAATTATCTTGCAACCAATTTCATGTGTGCTACAGGTAGGCAATATCATCAATGAAATCCAGATCATTAAGATACTCTACCAGTCAAAAGTTTCCAAACCAGTAAGACTCTTCTCACACACACACATCTGATCTCATCAGAGATGTCAAGTCAGTTGGCTGAAAGCAGACCTCATTGTCTGTTGTTTGATCACAAGTCTAACATCATAACGTACATAATTATCATTAAAGCCTTGATGGTATGCAAACATTATTTTTTATACTTTAAATAGAACACAACAATATCACCTTGGGTAACGAAGACCCACACACATTGCTCTCATGGCTGCTCCACATCCACCGCCTCTGTGAGAAAAATGGCAAAGCAAGAAAATGATGGAGAAGAGACAACTTATCATTATACTGACTAAGCCTGGAAAACCATTATTTGCAGAACTCAAGAATAAAAAAAAATACACAAAAAAAAATCTTCAGATAATCTACAATATTAATCTCCTAATGAAGAAGGATTTTATAAATAGTCTGCTAGATTCAGTTAACAAATGTGCACTTTTCTACTTTTCTTTGATATAAAAAAAAATAAATAAAAGATTCATGTTTGCATATAGCATGCTTGCACACATAATTAACACTGCTCTGCCATAGTAACAGACGGCTAGCCCATGGATCATGCAGACATTGCTAATGCCATTATTAGAGAGGTTGAACATTCAGAGGATTTTGGGAGCAGTACATACACATCTTTGCTAAGAGTGCAAGAATTGGGAGTAAAGATCGGCACAGCCAGGCATGAGAAGCACACCGAATGCACGAGTAGTCTTGCAAACCAACATAGAGCTGAGACTTGCAACCGTGTGATGCTGATGAATATGTTGAAGGGAGAATCTGAGCAGCTACACACATACATGCAGGCATCCATGAATACAGATACACTAGCATACACATACACACAAGCACATGGAGAGACATACACACAGACATAGACAGTCACACACTCAGACACACACACACACAAAAACACACATACATACAGACTCACACACAGAGACACAACGCACTTGGCAACTAAAATAGACTCACCTTGGATTAAATTGTATTCGGTAACCTTTCGCAATGTGTGGTCTCAGTAAATGTGCTCCTTGAATACATGTTGCTCCTGGGGTTAAAAAAATTTCATTAAAGAAACATTTTTTTTTTAAATATGAGAAAACTCATAAATCAGATAAAAAGATATTATTATTCTTCTTTTTATTCTCCCTTCCAGTGGTCTTTAGAAGAGAAAGTCATAAGCCTCTATGAAGTCATGTTGTGTGACGCATGTCTTTTACTGTTCCATACCACTTGGTTTCTATTGGAATGCCAACCGGCAAAACGTGGGATTTCTCTACTTTATGTAGAGAGCTTGTCTGTAGCAGTATTCTGTGGTTCCTATCCACGAGCTGAATCCTCAATTTTCAATTGCTTGTATCTAAAGCTGCAGAGTCTGTTGTGTCCAGTATGCGATCTAAATATAACTGTATTTTGTTTGTTTGTTTTTTAAATAAAAAGATATGTAATATTCTCTTGTATTGTAATTCTACAGTATCAATATCATTAAAAAAAAAATAGCAGAAATGGGCAAAATGTGCTGATCAATGCCAGTTATTCTTATGTTCTAGACTATGGTAATATATGCTATCATGCTGGCTCAGTGATATAACTTGCAGACAACTGCTAGAACTTTATGTAAGTGGTCTCCATGCCGAAGTTGTCATTTGTCTCAAACTCTGAAGGTTTGTTTCATGGCTACATTGTTCGGCTCACGAGTGCAATTTTTATGGGGACCCCTGGGGATCATTACATGGGTTAAGGAGCTCATGCATTATGTCACGCTCTAGGCCGGTAGCTAGCTGTTCTGTGAAAAAAAGCCGAGCCATATGGATTAAAGTTCAGTGATGAATAGCGTAATGAAAAGACGCCTGCTTGATGGCCTGAATGTTTTCTGCAGCATTCCGAGGCCGTGAGGTTCATTGCTGCAGATATCACCCACCTACACTCATCTCTCTGGCTGGCCTTCTCTTTCCAGTTGGTTACACCAAGTGTTTGCAGGCCTGTCAAAACGTTATCTCGCCATCCTCTTCTTGATCTGCATCATAGTCTACGACCCTAGTGTATACAGTTTTTACCTCTGTCATTTGACATTCTCACAAAATGCCCAAGCCATTTCAATCTATTAGATCTCACGATGCCAGTGATCAACGCTGATTTAAACAGATAATGAATTTTGTTGTTGCTTCTCACTCTCCATTCCCTGCTTTTTGCATCTATGATAGGTCCTTAAGGTATTATGTTCAAATCCACATCAAGACATATTGCATTTTCCCTTACCTCCCAGGTTGACCTGCTTAAATGGGTGCTAGGTAATGTCCTGGGAAGTAAAGTTGGTCAGCATAATGTTGATCACATCACCCACTCAGTGCCGATTTGTTTACATTAAAAAAAACAGAATCTAGCATCTTATACCCAATACACCACTGATGGTAAGAGAGATAAGGTAATAGAAATGAAACAGGAAGTTATAGCCAAACAATGATGACCTACATTGCATGGCATGGGCTATAAGAAGACAGCATTATTGAAGTAAATACACAAAACTGTTTGCACAGAGGGGTTGGATAAGTTACAGAGAAGGGGTTTAACTGCGAGTGTGAAACATATTAAAAAAAAACACATTAAAACTAATAATACTTGCCAGGTGCCCTTCCTGACATATCTTTCAAGCAATCTTTATAAGCCTGAGCTATGGTTGTAAAAATCTTTTCTTTATCATCAGTATTTCCACACTGTACAAGAGCTGCAAGCAGAAACAAATATGTCCTCTATATGTCAAATTATGTTTGAAAAGTTCTCATAATTAATGTAAATTATGTAAATACCTTTTAATTTTACTTGAATTCTATTTTCTCAAGAATGCTATAAGTGTCACGGCTGGTATTTCCACACTGTACAAGAGCTGCAAGCAGAATCAAGTATGTCCTCTATCTGTCAAATTATATTTGAAAAATCCTCATAATTAATCCTTATGATTTTACTTAAATTCTGTCATTTTCTCCAAAAAGCTATAAGTGTGATCTCTGGTATTTTTCGAACTGCACAAGAGCTGCAAGCAGAAGCAAATTTGTCCTACATTTGTCAAGTTATATTTGAAAAATCTTCATAATTAATGTACCTTAACATTTTACTTAAATTCTTTTATTTTCCAAGTAAGCTATATGATTCTTAAATCAAGAACCATAACAGAAAACAGCATACTTAAACGGGAGATAGCATATGAGTTGTTAATATTTCTTAAGACAGAATAATGGTACCCCAGACCACTTTAATTATCCACAAAGATAGACTACACAATATAATTACTAAAACAGTTTAAAAGTTATCATTGTTAAGAGCCTTGCCAGCTGGCATAGGCATTCATGCATCTCCACATATCTCGGTCTTTGGTGTTCAGGATCAATTCTACTGATGATATTCCTCCATGCAACTGTCTTAAGCCATCCACCATCATTTTTCTGTCCTGCCTCTGTCTCTTCTACCAGTGATCTTTCCAGTCATCATGATATTTTTGAAAGTACATTTAAAATATACTGAATGTGACAACCTATACTCCTACAACAGTATACAATCAATACAAAAGCTATGCAAATCTTATCAAAGAGCTGCTGTACACAGATGATGCCGCAATAATCACCCACTCAGAGGAGGAGCTGCAATGTTTACTCTCTGCATTTGCTGATGCATGCTGTGAATTTGGATTAATAATCAGCAAAAAGAAGACAAAGGTTATGGTGCAAGGTGTTAATAATAGATCTGCAGTCTACATTGACAGTGAAGAGCTGGAGACAGTTGACCATTTTATCTATCTGGTTCCACAGTGAATAACAAACTATCCCTGGACCAAGAAATCAACATCAGGATAGGTAAGGCAGCAACAACAATGAGCAGATTAACAAAAAGATTTTTGGAGAACAGAAAGCTCACGATTAAAACAAAGACTCTTGTCTATCAGGCTTGTGTTATCAGCACGCTGCTTTAAGGCAGTGAAACTTGGTCTCTGCCTGAGAAGGAAGGAACCAACATTCTGCATACAAAGAAGACAGATCTGTAAATGCACAAAGAAAACTCAAGTTCTGGAAACAGACTAAAGTTCAGAAGTGGATGAAGAATCAGAACTTTCTGCCAGAGTTTACAACCAGTAAATGCGAAGAAGAAGGAGAGGAAGAAGAAGAAGAAGAAGAAGAAGAAGAAAAAGAAGAAGAAGAAAAAGAAGAAGAAGAAGAAACAGTACATATTTTTTTTCCAGATAATTTAAACAGAAAGATTTACCTTCACCTGTAGCCAAATGCATAACTGTGTCATCACTCACATTCCAATCTGGCACTGATAATAAACAATAAGTGTTTAAATTTGAAAGTAACTAGTGCAGAAACATAGAAATTAATGTGACTGACAATAACTAGAGTTGTTACAAAAGATTCAATCTTTTAACACAGGAGTTGTTTGTAAGGAGAGAGGGGAAATGAAGGGAATAAAGACAATTTGTAAGGCTTAATACAGAACTTATAACTACCATCTGTGGCTTCAGCATTGCAAATGTGCTTCATAATTCCAAAATACCCAGTTCAATAACAACTGCAGGAATTCTGGCAGCAGACTGCTTTGTACTGATTTGAACGATTGTATGGAGACATTCGGAAAGCAATTGCAAACTATTGAATGCAACACTGCTTAGTAAAACCAAATGTTGAAACAATTTTAGGGTTTGTTTTTTCAGCGTCCTGTAAAAAACATGAAACTAACTTTTGTGAAAAAATATAAAAACTGCAGCATGAACCTTAGCAATTTCATTTGATGAAGCTATGCAGAGCATGAAAAGAGAAAATTAGAAGCTAAATGCAGAATGTGAAAAGGGAAAATCAAAAGTCAAAGTCAAAATTAATTCACCCAGCAATGTTTTGTTCATCTGCCAAAATGTTCTCCTTTGACAAAATTGCTTCATTTAAGAAAGTTTATTTTATGCTCCTAAATTGATTTTTGTACACATGTTTGTTCTCTTATAATTAAAATTGGAAGAAGCGCTTGGCAAACGAGTAATAAACACACAGGATTTTTTTTAAATGTATTGATTTATACTTGATAAAAATAGTGATTTACACTTTGACTGAAAAAAAAAGGCTCATAGACTGGCCACTGTTATCTAGCGAGGAATATTTTTATAACATATCACTTTTGCAGTTTCAAAATACTAATACGCAAGAAAGATACTTGTAGAAAGAAAAGCATAAAAGGTTTATTAGCCTTTCCATTTACATAACTGCGTATTACTATATATATATATAAACACACACACACATGTATGTATATAAAACAGAGAAACAAAAAACAGGAGTGAGTGTACAAGAATAACTTATTTTGATTCAGAAACTTTAAAAAAAGACTCTTCACTAATCCAACAATTGTCAGAAAGAAAAAGACATGCTCTCTCGACACCTTTTCCTGAAGTACTTCCCTAAATTCTGATGAAGAATATTTATGCATGCAAAGAAAAAAATTCTGACTGACTGATGTTAAACCCCACCAGGACATCACACAGAGCAATAAACACTTGGTGACAAAAAGTATCACCATTCAGATGAGGATCACCTGGGGACAGGTATCAGAAATCCTGTTCAATCTATACATTGGGTTATATTAGGGCCCCCCTGACAACAGCCAGGGTGGGACTTTAAAAGAAAAAAAAATTGCGCCTACACTTGGGACATATTTAAAAAAAAAAATTCTCAACTATACAGTCTTCTTCTTCACTTCCTCTTTTACCGCTGTGGGTGTCGAGGGAGATATAAGTTTCTCTTTCTGGCTCTTCTGGCTGCCTCGACCATAGGCACATCGTGTTGTTGTAGAGTTTCTCTGATGTTATCCTTCCATATTGTTCTTGGTCTACCTCGTGCTCTACGTCCTTCTTCTCTTTCCATGTATGCTTTGTATGGTATGGTGTCCACAAGGCATTCATCTTAATCAAAACCATTTCACTTGCTGTCTTTGTATGTAGAACTGTGCCGACTTGTTCTCTTATGATCTCATTCCTGATCTTATCTCTTATGGTCACTCCTACAGCCCTTCTCAGACATCTCATTTCCATGGTTACTAATTTTCTATACAGTCACAATGAATAAACTGTAAGTTGTCTAATAAACAAGTTAGAATTTTTGTTTCATGCAGAGTATATAGTGTTCTCATAATCAAAGAAAGAACATTTTTTTTCCCAAAATCACTAGAAATAGATCTGAATCAAACTCCCTTTTACAATGGTGATATAACAACATCCTGTTTTCTTTTTTAGAGTACTTCTTGAAACATCTTCCCTCTCCATTGCATCTGTATCAGAACTAAGTAATACATCTCTCTTACTGAACTGTTAAAACCCCCTAAATGTTCATTTAATAGCTGTTTCAGTTCTATTCTGTATATATGTTACACCTTAACAAGACCAAAACCAATATTAAGTTAGAAAGCTTATATTATCTACAGGAGTTTGAAACAAGAAATAACTTGATTATTAAAAAATTACAAATGTAACGTTCTCTATAGTTCTAAACAAGACATAAATGATATTAAATGATAAATGTTATATTCTCAAATGAAGTTCTAAGTAATATTTATATTGATTTTTAAATGGCAAATGTAATATTTTCTATAGAAATCCTAAATATTACACATGCTGATATTATATAACAAATATTCTAAACAAGGAGTTCTAAAGAAAACTTATGTTGTCATTAAATGAAAAATGTTATATTCTCTAGAATATTAAGCAAAACATACACTGCAAATATTGAAATTATCTGACAAAGTTTGTAATTTACTTTATAATAGAAAAACTAAACAGAGACAATAGAACATACGTGCAACATGAATTTGTTCCAGGCCCCCTAGCTTGAGCACCTCCTCAAAGATGTCATCTCCATTATGGTTGAACTCAAATCTTCCACCGTAGTAACCTAGGGCATCGCCAACACCACTGAGAACCATAGCATACACATATCGCTGTTTCAAGCTGCTCATTGTTCTGTAATGAAATATATGTAACAGTGTTATGTAATTTAATATAAAAGAATTAAATATACTCTATAAATTAATATCACAACATAATTATAAAATTCTCTTTGCATCCCAGAACTGCATTTCCAGTTGCTCACTTAATTCAAGCATTTCTAACTGCCTGAATATTAATTTTATCTCTTGACTATCTTCTTTGTCAGTCTTCGTGATCTTTTTCCTGTTAGCTCTTTTGTGTACACAGTTTTGGTCTGTTATTTGCCATTCTCATGACGCCAGTATGATGTATTTCTCATGAACTGTTCTCTATTGCTGCATATAACATTTGAAACTGCATGATGTTGTACTTAATGGTGGCTTAGTGGTTTGTACTGTGGTACAGTTAAATCCCAAGATTATCCAGGAGCTTTCCCTGTGCAGTAGGGCTTGGACTCGTCCAGCCTTATATAGAGTTGAGTTGAGTCAAGAATTGACATCACAGCACTCTGGACATTCCTATTCACGCTCCGCCCCCATCTTCAGCAGCCAGCGCAGAGTTCCAGTACTGATGGTACCAGTCACAATCTGGTTATGTGTCTATCTTGCCTTTCCTCTAAGTGTAGTGAGCTGGCCCAACCCTCTGGTTACACCCAGGTGTCTCATTCTCTCCAGGCCATAATAATCTTGTTTCTCTACTGATTTCGTTGCTTGTTCCCGAAAGGCCTTGACCACATCTGCCTTGCCATGTATCAGTTCACCACCCAGTGGTGCAGATCCAGCCAATATGTCTGCCTGTTCATTACCCACTACGCTGGCATGGCCTGGAGAAAAGATCCAAAGTATGCTCACTACCCGTGACCTTCCCAGTCCAGCCATAGCGTGTTCCATAAGTCTCTTCACTGTGACTTTGCTTCAAGTTGACATGTTTTCACATTATTAACCAAACAACTCTCATGAGGTGTACACAGTTATTTAAAAACACTGACTTTACATGGATTTATTAATCAAAGAGAATCGTTGAGGATTTCTAGCATAGTCCGGGAAGGAAAAGTTACAGTGAAGCGGAATGTCTAACCCCCTTTATATGTTGTGTTCTAGGGCATGTGAAGGCTTGACACTTTATAGCCAGCCCAATGGTAGTGGCTTTTGTTATTGTTGAGCTGATGGCACAGTTAGTAAAAGTATACACACTTATACACAGCGGTGAATTTTCTTCATTTCAAATTTGGATTTTACTTGCTAGGAACATCTTTGATATTACTGTTTGTTCAGTATGGTAACAAGTCAAAATTCAAAATTACCCCAATATTCTGAATAAAACATGGAAGTTAATAGAGACACCCCACTTGACAATCTGAACCGAGCATACAAAACCGCTATGGAAACACATTTTCCTGGACTTGCAAAGATACACTAGAAAAGCACATGAAGGGGATATTTTCTAACCATATGTATGCATAGCCTAAATAACATCCTGTCTTGTTAAAACAATTTTGGGATGAGGTGGCGGGGGGGGGGGGGGGATGAGGTGGGCGGGGGGGGGGGGGGGGGGGGGGGAATGAGGTGGCGGGGGGATGAGGTGGCGGGGGGGATGAGGTGGCGGGGAATGAGGTGGCGGGGGGGGGGGGGGGGGGGGATGAGGTGGCGGGGGGATGAGGTGGCGGGGGGGGGGGGATGAGGTGGCGGGGGGGGGGGGGGGGATGAGGTGGGCGGGGGGGGATGAGGTGGCGGGGGGATGAGGTGGCTGGGGGGGGGGATGAGGTGGCGGGGGGATGAGGTGGCGGGGGGGATGAGGTGGCGGGGGGGGGGGAATAGAACCACTGCTCTTTAGCAAGCTTGTTATTCTGTCTATTGTCTTTCTCAGCTTTATGCTGCTAGGCGTTGCAGGCATGGCTAATTATTGGTTTCGGGGATAGTGCACACTCATTAGTCTGCTGCGTGGTGATATTGTTGAGTTTCAGCAAGTTGTTAACTCCCTCTATTCCTGTTCTTATTGGCCTGCCTCTGCCTCTTGTTTGATTCCTATTCTCATGTTGTATGCTTTTGCAACCAGTGACACTTGGTTCCTTCTGACCAGGTGGCCACACCACTTAAGTCTTTGTTTTTAAATAAATCTCTTTACAAGTGTTGTTCCCACCATTCTAGTGATATCTTCATTTCTTTTATGGTCTCGTCTTGTTATGTTGACTGCTTTTCTCAAACATCTCATTTCACACGTCATTAGTTTCCACTCTTGTTCTTTTGTTTGTTCCCAGGTTTGATTATTAAAGGCGATTAACTGAGGGTTTGCGGAATGGCACAGATATCACAACCTTACGGTAAACCACAAGAGAATGTGTTTAATGTGTTGAATGTGTCACCCATTTTAAGGATGAGCAAAGAAGACGGAAGGAGAAAACAGGATAACTAGATATTCACCCTTAATTTTGACACTGTTTACTTATCATGATTTTCAAAACCAGTTATCTGCAATATCCTCAGTAGCTTAGACAGATTTTGTGTGGTTAAGCCTATTTGATGCATTGTACTGAGTATAGCACCCCAAAAAAATGCATATTCATTATAAATAATAAAAAAACATTTCAGCACATGAACACTGCAATGTTTAAAAACAACAAAACGTTTCAGCACATGATCATTGTTTTGAAGTTAATACTAGAAACCACAACAAAGAACTTTAAAAAAAAAAAAAAAAAGATAAAAAAAAAAATCTAAACAAGAACTAAGCTAGTTAATCTTAGCCAGAACCTCAGTAAAATATAATCAGTACTGACAACATAGTATTATTAATTATTACTTTACTTAACTGTTCGAGGGACTTGTAGTAGGCTTACTATATTTAGAACATAGATCTTTCAAGAAACGAATCAGATAGTCAATAGTACATCTTTTAAAAAGTAAAAATAACACACACTGTAGCGTCTTATTTAGAGCATATTAATAGTCCCGGAGTTCAGGCGACTAATTATTAAGAATTTACTAAAAAATCCGATGTGCAGTTATCACAGCCTTGCCGTAAACCACAACCAAACATGACAACCGCCCTTCTGCGGGCGAACACATGTCCCAAGACATGGTCACTAGATATAATTTACCATTAATGTGAATACCGCTTGTCTTGCTCGTGATGCTTATTTTAAAATAACGTCCTCACTAGCCAAATAAAGAAGCTCTGATTTCTTGCATTCTAAGCTACTGAATTCCCCCCCCCCTCCCCCCGCTTTATTAAAAGCCAAACAACTTGCAAAAGTTCATGCTTTGCACAAACACATACGGCACTGACAAACACATCACACATAATTTAACCCACAGACACCAACCACACACATACACGCACACACCCACCCAGTCAGCCCTCGGGTACGCCCTCGTACATTATCCCGCTGCTTGGTCACGAGTCTGTGGTTTGTATACAATTGTCACGTGTTGTTGTATATACTTTTGTTCAGTGAACTTGTCTTGAAATCTGTACTGCTACAGTGTAGACGGTACTAAATTAATACCGTTTTTTTTCACTACCCTTATATTTTATGAATGAAAAGTTATGAGAAAGTTAGTAGTTATGCAAATTTAGAATTCAAAAGCAACAGGCAAGCAACGTTATGCACTGTAGTAATAGTATTACTATTATAGCAACACTATAGTTTTTTTTTTTTAATTTTCAATTTTCGAATTGAAGCTGCAGCCGGTATTTTAATTTTTAAATAAAATTGTATTTTAAAAAGTTAGTTGCGTTTTTTTAAGGACCAGTTCCGTCATCTATCTGTGTTTGTATATTTAATAGCTACATATTTCTTTCAGTAGTGTGACATTGTTTCTGAGTTTCTCACTGACTTCTGAACGAGTGGAGTAATTAATTAGTCAATTTTATAAGTAGACAGTTTGGCACTCTTCCAAATACCGTGGTATTCAGAACTATTCAGAAGAGTGCCAAAAATTTACTAAATGTTTCAGAATAGTACAACTAATTCACTTTGTGCATTCCAGGAATAGTTATGTAATAGTTAATATGAATGTATGTAAATTACCTATGACGATGGCAATCTTGTTGCACATAGTTCCAGACACTTGCGTAGCAAGGTCGGTCAAGCAGTTTATTACTAGAACTCAAACCCATAAATAGAACGGTAAGGAATGCCTATGCCGCCTTTGAAGACATTTTTCCTAAGATAAAATCAGCGAGGAAAATCAGCTATTATGCATACTAAATCCACTATATTAGTATCATAATTTTAACAAGATCATCTAAATATTCACAGTACAGTTTATATCATAATCACAACCCAAATCAAAGCCATTTTTGAAACAATACGAATTACACATTTGTCTTAAATAAACACTAAATAATTACACAACACATAAAACAACAAATATATATATACCCTGAGTACTTGATGGACAACTATTGGACGTAAATTTGCCTAAAAAAACCACACAACAGCCAGGGACTGTTGGGGTTGGTTCTGCAACGTCCTGTAAAGGATACATACCTAACCTTGACTTGATGGACACTAAATATCCCAATTCTAAAGTAACCCTGAGGGTTGAACAGGATATTTTTGTGTGAAAATTACTAATACTTCTGCAGGAATAGTTAGCAGGGACAATGGGAGAGAGAGAGGAAAGGGGGGGGGGGGGGGTTAGACACTTTAACCTTCCCCAAGAATTTAATTAATTTTTAATTTGCATGCACAAATTAAAAGGTTGGTTGACATGTAGTACTGTGGTTTACAGCTGGGCTGCAATGTGGGGCCCAGTGCATCCAGTTTCAAGAAACCCTTATTATTAATCTTTTACATAATGCTGGTTAAGGTCTAAAACTTCCCTCATGCCCCTCTCCCTTCAGTTTTCCAGAAAACATGATGTCCTGGAGTACACTAAGTGAATGTTTTCTCCAAATTCTAAAACATTTATATGTACAGGAAGCTTTTTACTTATATTAGAACTGCTTTGTCGTGTAGTTCTTTATATCGATAAAAACTTGAGTCAGTTTGTCAGTCTGATAGACATATTTTTATTTAATAATT